ACATTTTTGAGATCAACACACGCATGTTATCAACAGGTAATCGATTAAAAATACATATTTTTGAGATCAACACATGCTTTTTGAATGGCCTCATTAATTTTTTTAGATGACAATAAACGATGTGGGGGCATCTACCCTCCAAAACGTTGCAATGGCCGCCTTACACAGCGTTTACACTTGCGACCTGTGTACCATACACTACAAGTCTAGAATTTTTTTTTTTTGCCGTAAGTTAATATTATCAGGACATGTGTGTGTGGGGGGGGGGGGGGGGGGGAGAAGAGGGGCTTCTCGCTTATTGCAAAGTTTATTTCCTCATGTCGCAAGTGTAAACGCGGCGTTAGCCTACATAAACAATCATATCTGTACTAGTCTGTCATGCACTTCAAGGTATTAACGTACAACAATTGTTGCAGCGCCGCGACTTAAGACATATTTTAGATATTAGTTTGAATGTGTACGTAACTAAATGATTGATTTTTTTGTACAAGCAAATTGTTTAATGTCTACACAGAACGGCGTTGGTTGTTTCGGGTGTTCTGTCTCCGCTAAGTAACAAGTACTGATCGTAAAAAGTGGTAGTTATAAGACAATCTAGTTATCTCCCCTTTTGTTATAGCATGGAGATATCTTTAACTTTAAAAATAAATGTATGACTGTTATTGTTAACAAACGGATATGGCACAAAAGTACAAGTAACTAATAAAACAAAACTAATACATGCGTTTTTTTTTTTAAACCTCAGACTTGAAAGTACAATCTCAATGCTTGTGTACGTTAAGCGCAGAGTTTTCTTTCAGGCATTTCTTTGTGCCCCCTTCCCCCAAAGAAACAGAATTTATGTAGAAAATATATAGGCTACTTTTAGTTTATAGGCCCCCGGGAAATTTAGTCCGCCCCCACCCCCAGTGTTTCTTCCAGACTTTTTTTCTCCGGGGGGACACTTGCAATTTTCGGGGGGGGGGAGGTAGACTTTCTTCAGGGGGGGACGATGACACTGTTAAAAGTATATATTTTCTATATAAATTATATAAATTTCATTTCGTTCGGGGGGGGGGGGGGGGGCTTAGCCCCCCCTCCTCCTCCTCCGACAAAAAAAAAATCTGCCCACCCCTCCGATGAAAAAAAGTTGTCAAGAAACACAGGTTGAGCAGATAGTCACTGAATCATCACGATGTAGGCATATTATACTTTTAAGTAACTTTTACATTCGTTTCAATATTATTTAATATTTTGAAATGTTTCTAGATTCATTTTTTTACAGTAAGCCTCTTGTCATTTAAGATGCGTTCGAGTGTGAATAAAAAGTTAGATCCATCACAAATTGATTAAAATAAATCCATTGCAAAACTCCACCTTAACAATGTCATAGAAAAAGTAAAACGATCGAGAAGGAACTCAGATATCTGTAACTGCATGTAATAACAAAACAAGCTATCTTTTTTATATAACGTGAAATAAACTACACATTTTATTTCAAATATATACTTTAATAATAAGTTTATAACTTTAATACATTATTAATAATTAAATAGATAAATTATCACAGCTCATTTTATATACTAATAAATTACATCCCACGATTCAATTTCAAAAAGTAGGCCAAACTTGTAATTATTTTAAATTTGGGACTTTATTTTTATAAACTTACCATTTTAATAAATTTTATTACTAATTACATAATATCTTGGATTACGTTAGAAGTAATACATTTGTATTATCATACCACACAGACGTATAGCTTAATGGAACCTTAAATTACGCGCTTCTCATTCGAAAGAATAAGCTTAAATTTTAAATGTATTTAGCTTTAAAAAAGCATATGACATACATTTAACATTTGATTTAAAGCACATTCATACATTGTTTTTTTTCAATCATTATTGGATACTTGTTGGACCTATGAGTAATTCAGTAAAGTAGTATTGATGAATCTTTTTTTTTTTAAATTTTGGAAATAGATGTTTTAGGTGGAACAATCATTCAAACACGATGTAAGGAAAGGAGAATTTTCTTTCGTTCCTACACTCAGGGACGACTATGCTGAAACAACCATGGCTCTAATCATTAGAGTTATCTGCTCCGTGACGTCACATTTCAGTGTCACGACGACTGATTCTTCAATAATTTTGCTCGGCTAGAAAAAATAAATAAAAAAGGAACCGTGTATTAAAAATTGTTAACATATTAAGGGTAATGCAGTTATGATATGTGTGATATAGACAAAAAAATTTCTACCGCCCCCCCCCCCCCCCGAACGAAATGAAATTTATATAGAAAATATATATAGAAATAAATATATACTTTTAACAGTGTCCAACTATATCTATATGGCGATTTATTCTCATCGTAAATATTGAGTTTATGACCTTTTTTTGAAAAATAATACCAGTGCTTATTCATATTGGCCGAGCTTAAACAAATATTAAATCCGAGCAAAGCTACTTAAATTAAGTGTATAAATTTAGCATGCTAGTTGTTTTGTGTTTGTTGTCCACGTGGACCCGAACCCCCCCCCCCCCCCCCCCCCCGCCCAATAATAACAACGTGGACGTCATACATAGAGGCCCTTATTTTAAGTTATCTGCAAAACTATTTCAATTTAAACAAACGTTAAAAGAATGTACAGTGAACATTAATTTACCAAAGTTAAACGAAACGAAATATTTTACGACTGGGATCGAAAGTCTACCGGTGGACTATTTGTTCGGCACCCATGCCACCCCCCCTCCACACACACGGATATCGATGCTTTAGCGATGACTTGCGTCAGGAAGGTTACAAAATAAAAGAGGAGTCCCAACCTGCTTTTTAATATTGTAAAATATACGGGACATTAAAATAAATACAGAGGCGTAGAGATGGGGGGGGGGGGACGGACATTTGTCCACGGGCGCCGATCTTAGGGGGCGCCAAAATGGGTTGGAAAAAGTAATCGAAAGTTTGAGGGGGGGGGTGCAAATCGAAAGTTTGATGGGGGGGGGGGGGGGTGCAAATTAAAAGTTTGTCCCCGGGCGCCGGGAAGGGTCGCTACGCCTCTGATTAAATATATAACACAGTGCCCCCACCACCTCCAACACATAAGCTGCTACACTGTTTGTCTACTCAGTACTTAGGCACTACTAAAACTATATCGTTGGTGTATAATTGTTTCTTTAAACTTAACCCTATTCACAGCAACACATTTGGTACCCTGTCCCCGGCAAATGAGTTGGTTAAACCAAGACCCTTTTATGATGTAAAATACTATTTCTTTTTATTTCCAAAAATTGTTTGTATTACGCCCATTGTCTATCATAGTACAAATGATTCCATTTTCAAACTAATAGGAATCCGACTGTCTTAAAATTAATTACGTAGAGCTCAATATGCCCATTTTTCAGACAACAAATAAAAAACCACAATTTAAAAATAATTAATGTTTTCAAATAGCTAAACCAGAACCTATTTTAAAAAATTAGAAGGAAAGTCAGCTTGACTTCTAAATATTTATTTTTAAATCAGGATTTGCCGGAAGTCAAAGTAAAGAACTAAGTAAAAACCAGTACTGGTGCGGTATCCACCCATTCCCACTCACCCCCAATCTGGATCCGCCCTGAGTTTAGCTAACATTTTTTTAATTAAAAAAAAAACTCAACGAAAAAAAAAAAACGTAAAAAATTGAAAAAAAAAAAAAAAAAAAAAAACAACAACAAAACAACGAAAAGTAAATTTGAAAAAAAAAAAAAAAACCCCAATAAAACTTACCTCGTGACCAGCTGGTGGCACCCACGTAAACGTCACAGGCTTCTTTGCTCCAGCTTCAACCATGCCCTAGTACACGAAAAAAACAACAACAATGTAACCATGGTAAATACAATGATAAAATACAGAAAAGCTATAGCGGTGACTACCGGTAACCAGAATAATCTATTCAACTGCTCACATCCCTATAATAAAAGCAAAAAAAAAACAAAACAAAAAAAACAACTAAAGAACAAGTAACACTAGAACAAACAACCTGAAAAAAAAAACTACAAGTAGATGATTTAATACAAACGACACAAAAAGCCAAACACTTTAAAGAAAACCAACTATTCAACACATACCACATAAGAACATAATCCCTACCTTAACTATTCAAAACAAACGACAAAATAACAGAATCCCTACCTTAAGTACTCAACACATACTACAATCCCAACTTTAACTATTCAACACATACCACAAAATAACAGAATCACTACCTTCTGAGGTTCCACTGTAAATCCTTTCTGTGTTAAAGCTTGGACGCCTTCGATCGAAAACTCACCATTCTAAGGAAAAAGAATAAAGCCAACGTCAAGTAAACAGCATTTCTTTCTCATATTTTTTTTCCGGAGAGAGGGGATGTACTTCAAACTTCAACCGGGGAGAGGGAAAGGGGGGGGGGGGAGTCTAAATTAAATTTCCGAGGGGGCCGGATATTTGTATAAAGGTTAAAATCTATTTCGTCCAATAAACTGACAGCATGTCAATAGTAGTAGTCCAAGTCAAGTTGTCTATAATAAACCTAAAAAAAAACCCCGATGCAATAGGCACACATAGGCTACAGTTTAAAAAGTATAAGGAAAAGTCATTTAAAGTTAAAGGGGAATGGCGAGAGTCAGGCTTTTTTGTCGATGTGGGCGGTAAATTGGTTTTAAAAAGCATGACGTCGTTTATGTACGACCCGACCCCTTTCCAAAAAACGCGAAATGTGGCATATTGTTTAAGGGATGTCAAGTATGGTTGCCGTACAAATAGATTAGCTCCAAGTGTTCACGTGCAATATAATGCTAGGTGTCGGGTGATTTTCTTCTTTTTGTTAAAAATAAGCGTACATATTTCGAATTACCTTACCTACCATTCAAAGACAGCGTAGATCTGCGCCAATAAAAATTTACCTTTGTAGTACCTAATACGTAGCCCGGCTAGCTCAGTCGGTAGAGCATGAGACTCTTAATCTCAGGGTCGTGGGTTCGAGCCCCACGTTGGGCGAAATGTTTTATTCTAACTTATTATTATTGACAGACAATATATTTTAGTCGCTAAAAATAAATTTGTGAGAGAGCTCATTGTGTTTAATATTAAAAGCTATTTGCTTTATTAAAATATTGTTAATCTATTTATACCCAATTGTCGAATGAATCAATTACTTTCGAATTCTTCAGATAAACACATCTCCGAAGACAGCACAAGAGTATATAATCAAATTATTTTATTTAATCTTTTACATTTGCACAAAATGTGAGATAACGGGACTATGTAATAGATATCACTCGATCAGCCAGATGACTGAGTATCGACCACGGATTTATTCAGGGATCGATAATTGTCGTTTGGAGTGAGTAGACAAACTATACTGATCACGTATATAATACAAATAGTTTCAGCTGTGTGGAGTGTCAAATTAATCAAGTAGATTACAAAAGGAACGAAAAGAATAAGCAAGTAGGCCTACTAACTGTTTTTAAAACTTAAATAACGACTTAATATTTAAATTGCTATTATTCTTAGATAGATTCAGGAAAAGTATGAAATGAAAGAAGTATGAAAACAAATTTAAAATAGAAAGCTCTTAAATGCGCTAAAATGAGGAAATAAACTTTCTTTAGATATAAATTCAAGAGGGATAAGATTTATACTAAGAGTCGGTCCCTCATTAAAACTTATCTGTGCGACCAACTCTTTCCCCCTTATCAATAACATATAAGCTTATTAAAGAAAAAAAAATTCAATTCCAGATTTAACTTTTTAAGCTTGCTATTTTATAGGATTTTGTAAGGCCCTACTTGCTTAATTTAAAGCAATCAGGCTTATAATGCATTAAGTCACTCTTTATAAGGCCTACATATTAGACAATACGCATTGAAGGTGTGTCGTGTCCCGTCCCCCCCCCCCCCCCCCCCGGTGGCAGGGTGGAATTATAGTGCGCCGCGGCAGATAAGCTCCGACCACAATAAGCATTTTTTGTCACACAAGAGATGCAATATCCTTTTTTTTAACAAAATGTCAGGCCTATTGTTTGTTATACAATTATTTAGTATTTGCATACATATTTTCAATTCAGTTCAGCTGATTGAAGATCGGCAGATTGTAGATCTACTTATAAACCCCAACATGTAGCCTGGCTAGCTCACTAGGTAGAGCATGAGACTGTAAATCAGTAGCCTCATTGGAATGGGTGACGTTGCCTTTTTATAAGCTTTTTATTTAGTTTACGAACTATTTTGTTTGAGACTAATCTTGAAATTCTATTTTGCCCCACTTCTTTTTCTAATGTAGCGATTTCGTTCATACTTCCCTCAGACACCGCAGTAATTATCTCATTTTTAAATATAAATAGATTTCTAATTAATCATGTTTAATTAAAAGGTTACTATTAATGATCATGGTTGGTTGGTTTCACACCTGAGAGTAGACCACGGACATTTTAAAGGGCCGATAAAATGTTTTATAGCGTTTAGGCCGCAAAGCTGCTGATAGGGTTTCAAAGCAAATATTTTAAAATTTTTTAATGGTGTTGATTTAATTAAAAAACGAACGGAATGCTAAAAAAAAAGTATGCCTGATTACTGTTTTTTTTTTAAATCACGAAAATGAAAAAAAAAATCAAATTAGAATAATTAGTAAAAAATGCACTGAAAGTAATTAAAATAATCTTTCTTTAGTAACAGCATTTTTTATACTAAATAAATTAAGTTTATTCTATTGTTAAAAATGTTTTAAGTGCATTTTTAACCCATTATTCCAAAAGTCTTTTGAAACTTTTTGTTGTATTTTACAAGATTTTTTATGAGTCACAGCAACTCACTTGTAGCCAGATCTTGTAAATCCATTTATATCCATTCTAATGAAGCGATTTCTTTTAAAATTTCCAGATAAGCGAATCTCAGATGACAAGACACGAATATCTCAATTTCAATCTAATTTGTAATTGAATTATTTATTAAAAATAAATTACTGGATTACGATTCACAAAAAGGGAAATAACTGTGTATTTGCGATCATTTGAAAAACCGAGGTTACAAATCTGACAGCCCATCCGGATTTGTTATAAGGAGCAGGCAATTTTCATCTGTAGATAATAAATCGCAAGCTAGGGCCTATAGTGACCCGGTTTTACGCCACCCTAATATCACATGGAATTAAATACAGTCTTCTACTTATTCCACTTTTGAGTGAAATAAAATGTGAACATTGGGCAACATAAATTATACGCTGTCTTAAAATATTTTTAGTCCTGTGGGGTTTCAATTTAATTTAGAGCTATTATTTGATAAAGTGAGTATGAGGCCTATAGCATACACCAACGTTTAAATATGTCTACTTTAGATATCTAGACTCCTAAATGTAGGGTAAGCAAACTTTCAAAACTTTCGAGGCCAAAGGGGGCAGACAATGCAAAATTAGAATTTGACCTAAAATATTTGTCCACACTAACAATAGAACAGAATCTAGATTTAGTGACTAGTGATCAAATGGCTACACATTAACACACCTTGTTTAGTACAAAATGAAGTAGGCGGATATTCTCAAATTTATCTTCAAATAGTTCGTCATTTAATTTATAACTGAGTACTTTACCTATGCTTAAAACAAAGGACTTTTTTTCACGAACACGAACGCAGATCTATTTTTAGATAAATAATCTTTATACTTTATATACACAACGGCTTTATCAAATAACTTGAACAAATAGTTCTATTTTAAGTCATCTATGCGTTTAAAAAGTGGTTTAAGTTAGAGCAATTAAATTGGGGTAACCGATTTTAAATTTACTGAGTTAAAATGATATTTATATATGTCTAAAAAAAGAAAACCAAATGAATAAAAATCTAAAATACACTAACAGGCATAACTTAATGCAAAACGAAGTGGATTGCTTACAATTAAAAAAAAAACAATTGGCTGCCCACACTTAAGAGTTATCTTACTTAGATCTAGAGTCTAGCTTGACTAGGCTAGAGTAGATCAAGAGTGATATTTTTCATTGGTTAATTTTAACGATATAGACAGCTGTTGCCGCCAAATAATTTTCTAAACGGAAAAAAATCCCCACTGCTATTAGCCTACATTAAAAAAAAAGATCTTAAATTTAAAATAGAAATTTAGCCTAAATAGAAATTCCGTATAAGTACACTGGATTTAATCAGGTCAGAGATGAAACCCATATCAAAGCCAAAAATGAACCGAGAAAGAATAATATGATAGTCCGCAATACAACTTGGCCCACTTTACAGTGAAGGGCTGTTTAAACACGCCACTTTAGAATTTTTTGGCTTTGTGTAAATATGAACACCCGCTTACGATACAGACAGCCGCTGTTTAACTTGTGAGCACAGAGAAAGCTATGCGGCTAGAATGTTGGATATGTCCATTATTTTATGGGGCAAATTCATCACTTTACCAGATGTTATATAGCTTAGGCTGAATGAAAAAAAAAGCTTTCTATTCAGATTAAGATATAAATTGTGTCGTCCTATTACACAAGTTTAAATTTATAACAATTCTTTACTAAAGAGACTTGATTATACCTAAAATTATCCCCCAACACGGGGAATTCGTAGCGTTAGGATGAGATCCAGAATCATTATTTTTACGGGTGGAGGTGGTGTGGTATATGTGTTGGGGGGGGGGGGGGGGTTAACAGAGGGGTCTTTCGAGCGATTGTACAAGGCCACATTTCAGGTTGGTCTAGAGTGGGCCTGCGACTTCACCGCTTGTAATAGATGGCTTACACGTGTATATCGTAGTCCTGCAGTGGGAAGACAATCTCTCGCAATGGTAGCTAGATCTAGTCAGTGACTAGAGATTCGTCAACACAATTTTTTTTTAATGTTGTAATCATAAATCACAGGTCTATTATTATATTTCTTTTTAATAGGGCCCACTGCTTAAATACCGTTGTAGTGTTTCTTACAACAAACTGTTTTCCTAAACAACTGTGTTTTGTAGATTTTCTTCTTTTTTTTTTTTGGTGTCCCGAGTCCCGTCTCACATAGAACATACATTAAAGATAACAAAGTATCGAAAATTGTGTATGTCTGTTTCAGGATTCAAGGGACTTAATAAGTAGCGTCAAAAGGCAGGGTAACACCGGTGTCATAACTATGGGTGTCAACTTACGGCAGTAGGACTGTAGGCCCTAACTACCATTATAATAAAGATAGCCTATAGACTATAGTCTGTATTATGTAGAGTAGACGAACAAACTGGGCATGGTTATTTGCATAATCGATGAAGTGATAGGCCTGTTATTTACATATAGGCTATATTTTAAAAGACATAAACTATAGGCCTAGCCAACATTTAAATTTAAAACACACTTTTATTAGATTAAACATTTTTGAATGTGAAGTACAATTTACAATTCAATTATTTATTTTTTAGTCATTATAAGGCAACTAAAATATAGACGGCTTGAAGTTAAAAAAAAAATTCAAACTTCAAAATAGAAAGAGGAAACAATTACTTCAATGGTCATTTCCATTGCTTATTTCCCTTTAGAGGAATCTGCATGTGCCTAAGCTGTCTGCCTGATTCTGGGTTTAAAGTTAGGAGTTTGTTTAGATGTAGCCTGTGATAGGCCTGATGGGTAGGCTATGTTAATGCGTAGGTCTTCTTAGTCAGTTTGGTACAATGGCATCATGGGTAGGCTGCTTATTGTAGTCACCAAAAATCCTGACTGAACTTTATTATACTATAAATTTACATGCATGCTTTAAATCTCACAGCTTTTAATGTTACGACAACCCCCCCCCCCCACCTATCACATGCTAAGTTGTATAGTTTTGCATTTTCAAAATTATTTCGTAACAAGGGTAGGCAATTAAAAAGAAAATAGTTAATTTTATCTACCCTTAGGTTAACGAGCATACTAACATTAAGCCACACATATTAAAAGGATGTAAAGTTAAAGATATATATGTGTATATATATATATATATATATATATATATATATATATATATATATATATATATATATATATATATATATATATATAGGCCTATATATATATATATATACACATATGAGTGTATATGATTATAATTGTATATTCATTAATGATTAAGATATTGAGTTTTATGAAATGAGATGTGACATTTTGGGGAATCTGTGGTGGGTGGGGTTTCTGACTTTCACAAACATCCTTCTCTTCCCAAGAAACACCACTGACTTTGCTAGTAAGTTTAATAAAAAACTCACCTTTTTCTGATGTCATGGATCTAACACACACAACATCAATGACATGAGATATGCTATTGACATTACTTATATATCTCATGAATATCTCACCTTTTTCTGACTTACTGCCATGGATCAAACACACCCACATCAATGACATGAGATATGCTATTGACATTACTTACATATCTCATAAATATCTCACCACTGACATTAATAAATATCTCACCTTTTTCTGACTTACTGCCATTGATCTAACACACCCAACATAAATGACATGAGAGGTGGATTGGAAATTATCATTCTTCATAACACTCCTCAGTGTTATCAGACACGGAGGGGATATAACTGTTGATGTCTTGTTCTCTGAGGTAGGAGATAAAAAAAGAAGAATCATTTAGCACATTTATTATTTCTTAACACAAGCTGTCTCAATGTCACATTTTATTTTTAAAAAAACAACAGATTACTTAAACATCTATTTACAATTGATCTTCATTATGACCAAAGATTTAACTGACTATCTGAAAGAAAAATGCTTTTCAAAATGGAAAAAGTATTGAAAATATTTATGGCCAAAAAAGCATTAAAAGTTTTTTATTTAAAAAAACAACAAAAAACCCTATAATATAGTACATAACAGCCTTTATAAAGCATAGTAAGTACACTTCATTTGTTTTAACTTTACAGATCTGAACTCTGACTACCATTTGAAAAAATGAATAGTAAAGCTTTTAAGTTAAAAGTTATAATAAAAACATTTGAATTCTATAAAAAATGAACATAAATGAAATCAAATCGGAATAACAAAAACAAATACCGTAATTGAGTAATTAGCAGGAAAAATAGAATGTTTTTTTATAGTTGTTAATATTTTTAAAAAAATCATTAGTTCTCTTTTGCAATGATGTATGCAGATGGGAGTAAAATATTTTTAAAAAAGTTTTGTTTGATTTTATTGGTCAGCCTAATTATCTATGGCCAATAGAGACACTTCAAAACTATGATTTGAAGTGTCTCTATTGGTGATTCTTGACATTTGAAAATGTGGGCTAGTCTGATAAGAAACCCTAGATAAAAATGTTTTTGGGAAAAATCAATTGTCACATTTTATATCCAAAAACATTAAGTAACTAAACAGAGAAAAAGTAACTTTTTACACTCAAGTGTAATTTTTATAAATTTGATATACCTTTAATTTTTCTAGATACTGTAGGATCTATTTCATCTTTCAAAGTTAAAAAAAATTGGCATTAATAGTTAATTGAGTACTTTAAAAAAACCTTTTAAATAAAAAAAAAAAAATGTAGTGTTAATTAACAATGGTAGGCCAGTTATTTTAAAAAACCCTTTTTTGGGAACATTTTTAGTCAGATATCTGAATTAAGTGTGTTGGTTACAAATCAGTAAGCTTGTTTTATTTACCCATGCTATACACATTTTTAATATCTTTTTATATTTGTCAATAAAGTATGCATGCAGCTAAATTCATAGATTGTATAATACAATTTTTACCATCATCTTCTTCAAAAGGTGCTGGAGAGAAAGCCAAAGACTCAAAGGTTGGATTAAGAGGTTCTGTCCCATCAAGGTACATAATTCTTGGTTTACCCTGGCCGGTTACCTTGAAGAAATGACTCTCTTCCTGTGAAAACGATTTTTATTGTTTATAAAAAGAATGAAATGAATGAATATTGTATTCTTTCAGTGGTGTAAAAATTATTCTTTACCTGTTTTTGGTGAAGTAAATTATCTGTATTTTGGTAATTTAGATATTTAAAACAGCATAAAGAAAAAAAAATAACTTAACAAATTCTGATTATTTACTTATACATAATTGTTCATTTTTTGCAGATGTTAAAAAAAAGCATATATACATAATTTTTCAGTTTTTGAGAATTAACCTACAATTAGACAAAAGCATTTGAATCTGAATTATTTTTTAAATTTGTGGGAGATAGCTAATGTGGGAGATAGATTTACCTGATCAAATAACTCAATCCTAACCCCATCAGAATACAAGTCACTCTCATGATCTGGAGCAAAGGTCACACAGATTTCTTTAGTTTCACCTGGGCAAATAAAATATCAAAGTGTAAAATTTCTTAAAGAAAACTTCATCTCTTTGTAGGTAACATGGACATAGTCCTTAGATCTCAGCCAACTGGAGATAGCATCTCTTATGTAATTTATGGCCCTCAGGACCAAGCGAGGAGAACAAAAAGGGGAAATCAGTACCACTGCTCTTTCCTCAACATTTCTCACCTTCATGTCATGTTATGTAATGTGTAACACACATGGCTTATCAGGGGATAAAACATTTATAATACATTTACAAAAGGCACTTATTTTATATTTACCTCCTTGAATAGTACCCTTTGTCGGAACGATATCAAAGACATTTTTGCCATTATAGTTATGAGGACCTGAACAAATGTAAAGTAGTTGTGTTAAGAATGATGTAGCAACAAAACAACAAGTTAGAATGACAAAAATATGTTCAATTAAAAATAAATCAGAATCAAGTTCTGAAAAATACATTTTAAATATTTGCAATTATGACATACCAACATAATTTTTAGTTTTCTCTGCATTTCTTCCTATTAAGAATTGAGGAAATACTTGAGCTTTTATATGGCGCAGGGGAGATAAGCTGTCTTGCTTAATAATGTAGTCTATTGATAGTATAGATGTATTCTCTATCTAAAAACCAAATGGAAGATTTTTATGTAAACAAAATTATTTAAAATTGTTTTCACTCTTTATATTATGCAAAACTAAAACAGAAATAATTCTTTTTTTAATAGATTATTGATCAAAATCTCACTACAGAAAAGTTTTGTAAAAAAATAAATAATTAAAAAATAAAAATGAAATCTGATATTGTTAAACAAATTTAAAAAACCACCTCAAAATAATGAAATATTTAGTTTCTTGTTTTGAAGCATCAAGTACAAAACAAACATAATATTCTTTTCTTCTTCTTCTTCGTTCTTAATTATTAGTGTTGAAGGGGATCGAGATTTATCTGCCAGTGGGTCTGAACTCGAGACTTTGTTCGAATTTATCAACCATGAGCTTTTTGCTGACTTGACCACGCCTCCAACACAATTAAGGATACGTGTCAACTGGTTATGCGCCATTGAGGCCATTGACTCAGATTTCAGCCTGCTTTTCTTTTTGGATTTGCTTCCATAGCCTTTGTCCAACCAAGAACAAACTACAAGGCAGCAGTTGTTTAATTTTGGAGTTGTCTCTCCTAGAAGAGTGGCTGTCTCCAGCTAACGAACCTCATCTGCCCGAGGGTTTTCGAACTCGAGACTTTTCGGTTTAGCAACCATGAGCTTTACCGACTCGACTACACCGAACCCTAATATTCTTTTAATATCCTCTTTATCCAACTGATCATATGTAGGCCACATGAAATTCTTACCGTAAAAGTTTTCTCCACAAAATCCCCATTTAAAACTGCCCCTAGCTCCATCAAACCATTGGTGACACTGACATTGACTAAAGGGCTGACTCCAGTACCACACAGTGTCAAGTACAGGGTGGAATGGAGGGTCTTAATACACAAGTCCTCTTGAAACTGACAGTTAAAAAATGTGATTAGAAAATTGTCGTAACAATACAAATTATTAATTTTTCAATGCTTTTAGATGACCATTAAGTTAAAGTATCAACCTTAAGATACTTTAAAGTAGTGATAAAACAATAATAATTTTTAAAGCATTTATGTTGAAATTTGATTTACAAAGTATGACTTACTACATGTCCCTTTTCAGGTGTGAATGTCAGAATAATTGTATGAGTACCTCCCGGTGACAATGGACGCAAGGCATTTAGTATAAGGAATGGACCAAATGGGTTCACCATAGATGCACTGAGCTGCAATAAAACAAAAATAATGTTACAATGTTAAAGTGAGAATGTCAATTAATAGAGAAAGAGTTGTATTAAAAAAAAGTATGTTTCACCTCAATATCTTTTCCTGAAATGTTTTGTACTGTTACAGAATTTTGGGAAGTCTGGCCAATGGAAACACTCCCAAAGTCTACAGTCCTTCTTCCACTATCAGATATTACAACTAGGGGTGGTTTGATAGCAGGGCAGTGTACTTGTAGATACAGGGTGTTGTGAATGCTGAAAATAAGAAATTACATACGATTTTGTTGAGATTTTTTTTTAACCAGTAGAATTGTAGACATAAATCATTTATATATTTTTAAGGATGTATTAATGATTACATTTTTCAGGAATATAAATTGTTTAATTTCTGTTAAAAATAATAAGTGTCATGTTTAATAAGTGTCATGTTTAAATAATATTTATAATAAAAACACATTGCTAAACAAGATTATTTTAGTTTTTGTATAAGATTACAAGGTTAAAACACTACAGTATTGTGCAACACTGGCAACACTTTTAATATTAATCATTAAACTGTTTATATAGAATTAGTGTTTTTTTTTTAGTTAAAACAGAATGGTATTAGTTGTTTTGGGTGTTCAGTTATGTGAAATGTTTTAAATAAAGTAGATTCATATAACAAAGCTATGAGACATGATGTGTTAAGTACTGTACAAATCGCACTAAATCTACACAGTGTGTAAGTAAAACTAGTACCTGTATTCCAACTGTCCTGGCATGCCAGCAGATCCTGAGGCCACATAACACGGTATTGTGTAGGACTTGAACTGACCTTTGTATTGGCGTATCAGTGAGGAAACAGCCGCCACATATTCCGGTGAACTAGGAATTTTTGAATACATTTATTACATAATTGTTTCTTCAACATTTTATTGGCAAAAATTTTAATATTTTAGCTACCTATGGGAGAATGGAAGAGCAAGGTTGCACAGTAAAGCACATGCCTGCTAACCCAAAAGTTGAGAGTTTTGAACCTGGGCTAGAGTCTATAGGACATCAGCCCAGCTCTCGTGGGTACCTGACTACTTGCAAGGAAAGTAAAGGTGGATGGGCATAGTGCTGACCATGCTATCCTTTCATCTGCTAAGATCACAATAACAGATAAACTTTATATCATCTGCTCCATTGAATGCTTATTCGAAATGGTAACTTTCCTTTTTTTATGCGTAAGAAAAACCATAATGAAATCTCTTTTAGCCTACTTTTTGGTTATAACCACAGGTTCAGTGGCTTGTTTCAGTTCCTCAGATGGCACCAGAGATGCTTGGCTTACATCAGTCGAGGCTACGGCCTTTGACTTGGAGGCAGCAGCACTGATTGTGGATGTTTTCTCTTTACTTAAGCCTTTCACCGGCTACACGTAATGATATATAAAAAAAAATTATGAGCAAAATAAAACAAAAACCAAATGCCAGAAGTTATGTAACATTCAAAGCGTTTGAAACTAGCTCTAACCAAGGTTTCTTACTTGAAATATGCTGTTAAGATAATACAATTCTAGGGTTTTTGTTATAAAATGTACATAAAATGGCACATTAGTATCTAATGATTTCCAGTTAAGCTAAAAATAACACTGTTGCTGTATTTTGAGTTGCGAACATTAGCCCCAAGATATTGGTCAGAGACCTAAAGCTCAAGAGCTGCATGTGGCTCTTTAATTAATACATGTGGTTCTAAGGTCAGTGTTGTAGAAAGGGTGAAAGAACACAATAAAAATTATTTTAATGAAAATTTTATATTATAATGCATCATAAGTTAAATAATTGAGAGGGATATTTTCTGCCTAAAATACTTCAGAATAGAATACTTCCACAATTATCATTTTTTGTTTGTTTTGTAACAAACCTACTATTTTTACCATATATATTAATATAACAATTACCTAAAATGTAAAAAAATGACACACTTTGGCATCAAAAACATTTTTCATAAAATTTTATATTAGTTCAACTACTAATCAAAAACAAGAAGTATAAAAAAGGATTAAAAACAGAACATGATTTTCAATTCCACCCGCTAGAAGATGAAACGTAAAAATTCATCAACATGTAAATGCAGCTCAAAACTCCTGAGCTTTTAACATTCATCTTACTTCTTCCTCATCTTCAAAGATGGAATCTTCTGCATCATCATCCCTACTGACACCAGAGGCTAATGTGCCAGAACTAGCTAACGACTCTAATTCTTTTATATTTAAACTTTTTCCATCTTGATCCGAGCTATTGTTTTCATTACTTCGAGGGTTAGAGTTATTGACATCTCTGGACTCTGCATCAAGTTGAAGTGTAGGTATTGGTACAGCATAGGGTTCAACAACAAAGTCCAAAATATCCTCCTTTTCCACACTTGATTCTGAAGCATTACTGTTTCTAGATAGTCTATTATTGGATGTATTGTTTGATTTGTTTCCGTTAATCTTAGTATTCTCGACACTAGTGGCATTTTCATTGGATGAGATCGATACAGATTTTTGCTTTTTTTTAGCTTTCATTGATGTAGCTAGCTGGCTTTCCCTTTTCTGAATTTTAGAGAAACACAGAGTATTAGTAGTCATAGTAAATGAAACATCCCATTATCCTTATGAAAATAGGATGTTACAATAGGTCCTGTTTCAATAGTTTTGATTACATTGTTCTTTGTGGCTAGAGCTGCTCTTTGAAGAAAACACCGGTAAAATTTTTATGATTTTATATATTTCTTCTAGTTTACCTGTATGTTTTAAGAAGTTGGAACAAGGGCATACATTACATAGTCTAACAGACAGAAACACCAGTATATAAAAATGTGTATTGCATAAATTGGTGTTTTCAGTATTTTGTTCTTAGGGACTTTGATACCACCACAGAGCTTTATAAATATGTGAAAGATCATTTGTTTTTTTCCCAAAGTCTGAGTGGTCTTGCGGTCTATTATAAAATCGTCATATAAGTTAAGACTAAAATTATTTGTGTAGTTAGGTTCTTCCAGTTCTAATGCAATTCTGGAACCAGCCAAAAACATTTTGGTAAGTTCCACAACTTGACATTACCACCCCATATTTCTGATATTACTTAAAGATGATGAAAACTATTAAATAGGTGCAATACATTTTATATTAGTGCATTGTATTATCTACAATAAATTATTTCAACTGTTTTGCTACAGAATACAGTAAAAAAACAAAAAAAAAAAACAAAGGACAATACTATTACCTGTAATTGTACTTTTTCCTGACTTTCTGCAGCTGCTTTTACTACTTTCTCTTTAGCCTTTTCGATGATCCTCAGTGCTTCTTCTTTGATTTCATCTTCATCTAACGTTGGTGTAAACTGGATATACACTTTTTGCTTCTGCAACCATGAGACAATATTCATTATTTAGATGAGACAATATTCATTATTTAAAACTATGTTCTTTTGTTTTCAGGCTATTTACTTTAAGCCATGATTTAAGTTACAATTTTATAATCTAAAAAAATGTATACAAGCATAAGCCTTCCATTCGATTTTTCATGTCATAAACAAATGTTCACATTTTTACCACAGAATGCATTCAAGTAACGACAAAGTTAAATTGATTGAACTTTACCTTGCCTGGTTGCACCGTTCCTACAGAAGGGGAGATAATAAATGGTGCATCTTCAGGGACAACAAACTCAAAGGAAGTTGGTCCCACAGGGCAAATGGGACCTGAAAATAAATAAAGGATTTTAAAAAAATTATGTTTACACTAGTATATGAGTATACAATCACTTTTCTAATTAAATTTCAATATCAAACTGAACTAGGATATAATTTTTTAAACAAGATCTCATTCTTAAAATAAATTGGATTGTTTATTTCTAACATTTTCAAGGTAGATCTAGAATCTAGGAAATAATCACTATTACTATTCCAAATTATTTTTTTTAAAGATGAAGTCCCCTAGATGAAAGGGAAAGAAGTATTATTGATGTGAATTGTTTCCTGTCTGTTTGCAATAGGATTATAAACTCATTCCCACTGAGACTAAACTGTCTTTTAAAATATAAATTTGATGAACAAGGGGAAGCTACCCTTAAGTTTTTACAACACAAACATATTTAAAAAGAATTTCAGAATCTAAATGTAAATCAATTTAATTATAAAAATGCCACTGCACACAGTGATGAGATTTCAGAAAAAATATAACAAGAACAAACCAGATGACAAAAAAAAAAGAAAATCAACTTTTTATTTTTCAACTTAAATCCCACCTTTTCCAATCCTCGGTACAGGATGGGTGAATTCATTGGTGTCAGTGTGTGAGTTGATGACATGAATGGTTGCCATGGTTTTATCGTACAGCGCTGTGGAAGCAAGGTGAACCACTTGGTGGGACAGCTCTAGTGGTGTGTGCACACCCACACCCACACAAGACACCTTGAAATCCCTGTAAGCCACACAGTACTTTAGTATAAAGCATATAAAAGTATTTTTAAAAAGCATACTGTTTCCTATTTAGACAATAAGCTTGGATGCTGTCATAGAGGGTAAATAATAAAATATTAAAGATACAAAATTTCAATGTTTTAACAAAACAAGATACAGATAAATAGCTACTGATAAATAGGTAGAGTAAAAATAGAACAGTAAATAAGGATGGTACCCAGGCCATCTTTTTATATATTGTGTATTCAGATCAATACTAAGCTTCCTACTTGAATAAAATTACATAGATATGTAGGTCAATTTATTTATTTTATTTTTCACAACATTTAAAAAAAAAAGAATAAGTATTAAGAATCTTAATAGCTTTTTGTTAGACCAACACCCTTAATCAAATCCCTGCTATAGCGGTTAATCATAATCATAAGAAACAAAACATTAAACTTATTTTTACTACCTAGTTGTATAGGTTCTTACTAAAGATCAAACAACATTCAGTTTTTTTAGTCATTAATATTTCATAAGATCTTTATAAGCAAACCAGCTAATTTTTAACTTTTGAAAAAAAAAAAATCTTTCAGTTTTTAAAAGAATATTGTTATCAAACCTGTTGATTATACTTCTGCAAACTAAATCAAACTTGTACTCGTTGGCTTTTGATGGGCTAAAAATAACATCAACTGTGTAGGTTTCTAATGGAAGTAAAGTCCCAAAACCATCATTTGGCTGGACATCCACATACTGAAAATAAATACACGCAAGGGTCACTTCATTTTTTAAATTTTAATTATGCAGAGAAGGGCAAATTAGTTATGGAAAATAGGGTGAAAAAACAAAAAAAAAAGGTGTCCTAAATTTTTTGGTGAATTATCTAAATAATAATAAAATGAGTTTTCTTAATAAATATTTATGAATGGAATTATATTTTAAAAATGGCTACCTCAGGCAAACCAACAAAGCCAAACTGCTGTGGTAGAATTGATTTGTTTGTAAGTTCAATAGATTTCTTCACTGATTCATGTATGGTGCAGTAGCCAAAATCAATGTTTTTCACATTTATTTCTATGTCTGTCCTTGTAACAACAGCATGAGCAGTAAAAACAACAGGTGTTGTCTGTAAGAAAGGTCAGTTGCATTATGTGCACTTTCACATACAAGAAAAAAAATCAACCATAAGTTTTTATCCAAATAAATTTAACTTTAATTTTTTTTAAAGTAAAGTTTTTAACCATTACCTGGCCAGCCACTCTGATAGTAACAGGAGCTTCCAAAACACCAATTTCTTCACTGATGTATGGCTTGGCATCACTGAAGATACCATTTCTAAAAAAAAATGAATCATTAGACATGAGTGTGAACAAAAATAACTTCCTACACATTTAATACAATCATGTTTTAGATATTCAAAATTATTTTTGTTTCAATCATTATTTATAAAGACTGAAGTTAATTTATATATAATAATTATAACGAATTAAAAATTTTCAAGATTATTTTTGGGAATGCAATTTGAGAGTATGAAATAAAAAATATAGTGACAGTGGAAAGAAACCAACCTGGGTAAGAACTTCAACTGAGCAGAGAACTGAGACTGGGCTTGGATGTAGCCAGTCTTGGGCAATATCTCCATGTGGTTTTTCAACTCAGGGGCTACCTCAAAAGTTAACTTTAGTGCTGTGCTAGCTCTGTTGACAAAATGTTCTCATTAATATCTATGTAAGATAGGCCTATAAGTTTATATTAAACACTTCTTTTCTAGATTCACATAAAAAACATTATCATTATAATATGTGTTTTTAAGTAAAAATCTTACAACTAAATATATATTTTAAAATAATATTCAATAATTATGCTGATAAAAATAAATAAATAATTCTATAAATGTTGGATTACACTTTAATAAAAAAAAAAGTTGGTCACAAATAATTTGAATAAAATGTATAATAACTGATGTGCACATAGAAAAAGTTAAAGCACATTTAACAGAAGATTCAGTATCTGGCACTTGCCTGTTGTGTACTACAATGGTATCTTGATAGAGACGGTCAAACATACAGATGTTCAGGTCAACTGCTTGTCTCTCCACCCACACAGGAAGATTTATGGCTTCAGCCAAACCAAAAAGGTCCAACTAGAATATATTTTAGATTTTAAACTTAAATTATACTAATATGTCCATCTTCCATGAAATCAAACCGTTTGTATAAATGAATCCTTTAAAAAAAACAACAGAAAATAAAACTAGAAAAAAATTAACTTACTGGTTTACTGAGAGCATCAGAAAAGACAATCCTGAAAGGTGTCTTCACTTTTCCTGGAATAGTTGGCTTCCATATTACCTCTAGTTTTATGGAGGAGAAAGGGCCAATTTCCCCAGCAGAGTTAGGACCCACTTGCAAGCCATCAAGTGAACAGATTTCATTTATATCAATATCACCAAAGGCTAAGGAAAATAAATAAATGATACATTTTTGTTAAAAAAAAACTCATTTAGAAGATACATAAAAATTGAATAGAAAGCAGTGATAAAGATAAATTATCATTTGAGTATTTTTAGGCAATAAAGCATTTGTCTTAAAATGTAAAAAAAATGAGTTGGAGAAGAAATGAGGTAGAAAAAAAATTTGGTTGATCAAAATTAAAAATAACTTTTTTACCTTGTATGTACAAATAATATAAATTATTGTAAAAAATACATACACTCTACAATAAATGGAAATCTCAATGATGAAATCTTTTGTTTGGAAGCACTAACAACATTTAGTAAACTGGGGCTCCCATCTTCTAAATCCATTTCCTTTTTATCAGGGGTGGCTTCCCTTGTTAGTTCTTCATTAGCATTTGCAGGAGCTTGTGTTTCTGTATCTATTTTTTTTAAAAGGGGAGATAAATAAGAACCAATGTGGGTTCTGTTGGTAAGTTTAATACACTAGTAGCAGTTTGAAACTATGCATTTAAACATTTACCATCGGGTGCAGTTGGTTTTTCAGGGTCTTCTCCCCCTTCTCCTCCAGTTTCTGGCTCTTCTTGAGCTTTATCATTTACGTTTGTCGTAGAAAAATGCTCCGAAGGCTAAATAAAAAAATAAGAGACAAATTATAATGTGCATTCAGTTCCAACAAACTAAGCTTTCAATAACATGTCAGCGCTTATATGTAACATAACAAGCATCTGCAAAACTGTATCTTTAAAAACTCCACCAGAATCTCCTGATTGTAACTCTTTACGTTGCAAGACAAAATAGTAATTAGAAAAAAATATATATTTGGTGTCAAAGGTCACAGTTTATAAGATTAATGCCTGATTAATTATTATATGTTTTGAAGCCTAAGAGTGGGTCTTGAGAAATTTTAAGGTATCTGTATGTAGAATTAATAGCAGGGGATCACACAAACTGGAAGGAAATGATGGAGGCCCTATGTTCCATAAGGAGCAAAGAGGACTAAGTCAAAGTAAGTCCTATAGAATTAATTTTATAAAATTGATAAATATTTGCCAAATATTGATAAACTAACTAATTGTTATTATTATTTTTTCTTATAGACTTAATACAATTTTTAAAATGGATAAAAAGTATTTTTTCTAGTAAAGTGTAATAATGATAAGACTATAAAGATGCAACAAATGCTTCATTTCAAGTAATCAACCATAAAAATAAATCAAATAGTAAACAGGCAATAAAACACACCAAAATTCAAGCAAAAAATGTAAAAACACAAATAACAAAAAAACCACTTAAGTTTCAACCTTGGCCTAGTGATACCTTAGCAAGAAGGAAAGTTTTACTGAGGCCAGGTGTCATGCGCTTAGCCTGAGATTTCATGCTTGGTGAGGGTATAAAGCGATACTGTTGGCTCAACAGTATTTCTTCTTTGGTGTAAAGTGACTAGAAAAATTACACAGTTTTTAGAAAGAAATAGACTACTGTTTTCCAATATAAGAAATTATTTTATATTATTAAATTGTGATTTGAGCAGCTTCTTTGTGAGGTTTTTTAAAACAATTTCATTATTATGGCCTACTCTAATTAATCTGCTCAAAACTATACTAAACCAAACTTAAAATCATACCAAATTAAAGAAGATTATTGATCATTGGTATGTACATATAAAAGTAATTAAAATCTGGGTAATAATATTAATAAAAATTTATTTTATAAAAGTAATGATAATAAGCAAGAAGGCCTTTTTTGCAATGGCTGTTATAAAAAAAATATTAACGACATTTAAATAAAATAGAAATTAAATATCAAAGACTTAATGGAAAAATAGTATTTCAAAAGTGGGGAATAAATTAACAATATTTGTGTCTGGGGTTTAATAAATTATTAAGCCTTAAATGTATCAATGCTATAGTTTTTGACCAATCACATTTTAATGAGTTAGAATTTGATCAAAGAGAGTCAGTTTTCAATGAAAGAAAACAAGAAAAGTCTGCTGCGGAATAAAAAAGAATGTTGATGGTCAATAAAATAGATGGCAAGAAAATTATTCTCACATGCATGTCTTTTAGATCAGCCTCTGTAAAACTTGAAAATGGTTTCATTGGAGTAATTTTGTAGAAATCATATTTAGTTGCAAGAGCCCCAGAATTGGTCAGGGTAAAACACTGCTTAAGCGTCTCTCCAATAACGTGGGTTCCAAAGTCTATTGTTTCTACATCTATTGACAGCTGGGGATCAATTATAAAGGTTATCAAAATTTACTCTTTCAATGTTAAAGATTTAAAATAAATAATAAAAATCAATGGTATTTTAGAGAAATAATAAATAAAAAGCATTTAAAGGTACTCTCACTAAATAATTTTATTTGACCCTAATACTAGCAGCTAAATAATATATAAAAACTTAATGTAAATTATAATATAATATAATTATAATAAAATATAATAAAATGTTAATCATCTTAATTTTTTAAAAACAAACCAGTGATCCATCTTTTAAAATAAAGAAGTTTTAAAAAAATGGTATTTTTGTAACGATAAATTTTACTGGGTTATCCTCATATATAGTACAATCAATAATAACAACAAAAAAAACATTTTAAAAAAATCAAACAATACTTAATGTAGAAGTACCTCTGTTTTCTTTGTGGTGCATTTCAAGGGTATGTTAAATGGCCCAGTCTGAGTGAGGAACTTCACCTCTCCATTCAAATCCTCATTAATCTGTAGAGGTAATCAAAGACTTATTGATCTATGTCTTTAACAGCAAGAGGCAAAAATTACTTAGTTTGAAAAGTTAAATGAAGTTACTTTACTGTTTTTTGAGAGATGTTATTGTTAATCTATTGAAGACAAATCATTAAAGTTGAGCCAAACTGTTTTACTGTTTTTTGAGAGATGTTATTGTTAATCTATTGAAGACAAATCATTAAATTTGAGCCACAATGTTGTAGCATGACCTCACCATGGGTTTAAAGGTTACAGTTAAACTGCATGTCAAGCCAGCAGACATCTGCCCAGGTGGTTCAAAGCTGAAAAATAAAAATTCGATTCTCAATGTTAATCTTTATAATTTTTCTTATTATTTGACTAGGATTATTTTTATTCCATGAAAGAATAACTATAGTTAAGTTAAAAGAAACCAAGTTTGTAAAAAATACAAGGTCATATTATTGAACAGGGTATTTAAAAAAAAAACACGAATCAAAGCTCTTTTCCACAGGAAACACATTTTTCCAATATTCCTATGGGGGCAAATTCTAAAAAAAGCAACACACACTAAGGAGCATTTAAATAATAAAAAAAAGGCTAAAAACGTTTAACATTGTCAACAGAGGGAGGGGAGAGAATAAATTACTCACTGAATTTTAATAAAATCTTTCAACAGGTCAGTGATGTCAACAAATTTGATGTAATTGACAGTATATGAGACATTGGTCAGCTTCACTGTTTTTTTGTAAGTTTTGCCAACATCAAAGTCCTTCAACACAAGAATATGGTTAGAAATTCAGTTTCAGAATAAAATTGCACTATAGTTTACATGTTATTTATCTCCATTATAATTAAAATAAATACAATAGATTTTAAAAGTATAATGATAACAATTTAAAATAAAAGAACAAAATAACTCACTTTGAAGTGTATGACATCTGGTTTACTGTAATAGGAGCATCCGGAAAACTCTCGACCTGCTGCCTTTTGGGTGATCACAATTCCCTCCCTTGTTTTATCTAAGGTCCTTTTGAGGATTTCCTGGAATGTGAAGATTGATTAAACTCATAAAACGAAATAAAATTTTAAAATTAGTCCAAATTAATGATAATCTATTCATATTTTTTTATTATAGTTTCCTCCCCTAATTATGAATAGTCAAAATCTTGATAATCAACAAAGTGTCATTAAAAATAATGTATGCTAAGCAGATGATTTCTTAACCCTTTGAACCTGCAGCACCGCTTTATCAGTCCGAGTCTTAAATACAAGTTGAAATACTAGCGATAATTCATGTTGTTAATTGAAATAATGAATTAATCTTGTTAAATTCATAGTCTTTATTTTTTTTATTGAGAGTGTTGTGCATACATTTAACTCAGGAGCTCAGGGGCATAGGGATTTAAGGTTTAGGAGCTAAGGGTTCAAAGGGTTAATGTCTCAAAGTTATAAAAATCTGTTGTCAAAACACTTTTTCTTCTAACCTTTTCCATTTTACTTTTACCAACAGGCTTGCTGAGAAGTTGATCGTTATCTTTTGGAACTTTATAAGGTTTTGTTTGCTTGTTCCACAAACCTTCAAACTCTGGTTTTTCTAGGCTGACCTGTTTCTCTGCTGTAAAAAGAAAAATGAAAATCATGACTGATTTACTGTAAAGTCACAATGTTTAATCTACTTTATTTCTAAAACAAGTATTAAAATGTACAAGAAAAACAAATACTTTTTAAACCATTTAACATAATTTAAAGCATTTTTGCATTTTTCTTAAACTTAAAAAACATTGTTTTTCTTGACTTCACCAGAATTGATTTCTAATGTACAAGAAAATTACCCTCTTCTTCTTCTTCATCTTCTTCAGATTCTGATGATATGGGTTCTTCTACAATTGGAGTGTCTTCCATAGCTGTGGCTTCATCCAAAACTTCCTCATCCACTGTCTTTTCATTTTCTGTTTCTACTGTTGGACTTGTACTGAGTTCCTCCTGAAGACAGAATGTGTAAATATGAGAATATGTAAATATGTAAATATGTGAATTTGTAAATATGAGAACAAATATGAGAATATGTAAGAATGAGAACATGTAAATATGAGAACATGTAAGTATGAGAATATATAAATATGAGAATATGTAAACATGAGAAAATGTAAATATGAGAATATGTAAATATACGAATATGTAAATATGGGAAAATATTAGAATATGTTAATATGAGAATATGTAAATGTGATAATGTGAATATAAGAAAATTAAATTTGAGAAAATTTAAATATGAGAATATGTGAATATGAGTATATGTAAATATGAGAACATGTACATACTTCTTTGTATTTGCAATGTATATTTGAAATTTTTAAATTTATAAGCAGTTTGAACAAAGCTGTTGTGAGCTATCTTTCTCTCACTTTTATATGACCATAACCAGCACGGACAATTCACTTTAGCCAAGCAGACTCCAACAAGATTCCCTTCCCTGTTGCCTGCTGCTAAATGTGGGTCCCTCAGTGCACTGCATCACCTGGCTTATGTGGGGAGGGGTTTGGTCAAGGAGTGACCTACTTCTACACTTGTTCTACAAGAACTCTAAATCTAGAAGACTTTTATAGTGTATTGTCATTTCAATTTAAGATTAATTAACAATATGAGTAAATAGTTTAAAATATTATATCTTTAAATTGAAGTTCAGCTTGCAAATACTTTTAAAATCAATACTCAAATAAGATTTAGCCCCAAACGTCATATTGATTTAGTCATTGAATAATTTGATTGGTCTAATTACCTAAATTTGTCTACAACCAGATCTTCCTTAATCTCCAGCTAAACAACTTTGATATAACCATATATCAAATTTCAAAATAACTTTAATTTTTGAATTATAAATGTTCAAAAAAAGTAAATTACAACAGTATGAATAGGAATACAGTTCAAGTGACTGTTGTTGATGATGTCTTGAGCTTGTTTATAAACATAAGAACAGTCATTGACTACAATTATACAAAGTAACAATAAAATAATAATTTAAAAAATAACAGATGAACAAATATTAGAAAGTGAAAAGTCAACACGATAAAAAAAATTATTTAACTAAAAAACAAGAGATGAAAAAAATATTTTTAAAACCCCATTTTAAGTATACAGTTCATACATGTAAACATATTACTCCATGGTGTAAAGAAAAAATTATTCCAATCAACAATTTTAAAACTGGATAGATAAAAAATTAATCCCACACAAGAACAAACATAAAAAATGCACAAAATGTTAAATAACAAATTTAAAAATGGAATAAATTCTAGCAATATTTAAATCACCAGGACCTCAACACTTGTTTCTGCTCGTGATTGGTCCTCTTCCTTAACAGTCTCCAAAGGAGCAATGTCCTCTTCATCAGCATTGCCACTTACATTGGGTGAAGTCCATTCGTTATTATTAGATCTAGTGAGATGGTGCTAATAAGAATATATATATTTCTCAGAAGCGGATACAAAAAAAAAACAACTAAATAATAATTACATCAAAAGATTTCCTTTTTGGAATGTATCCATTCAATAACAGCTTTATAAAAGCCTAATAATGAAAATAAAAGGTATCAGAGACTTTCATCGAAAACTAAGAAATGTAGGTAATAGTAGGCCTATTAGGTAAATATGGAGGTTTACTCATTTGGCCTTTTTAAAACCAAGATGAAAGGGTACAAGAGTAACCTATTTTAACCAGCTAGAAGAGCCATAAAATACATGTGTGTTATGTGCACCTAGAAAAATGGAAAACCATTTTCAGAACAGCATCATAGTACATTTAACTTTTGAATCACTGTATTTGGTTCTAGATGTCTAAGGACAGTTGATTTCTCAATAATCTCACATACTGGTGTCAAGTATTTATCTTTCTCATATGGCTTGTGTCCTCTTACTGATGCAGTTCTGGAATCAGTAATTCTTTAAGGGGAGCCAACTGTCACTTTGCATTTAAAAAAAAATTCACATTTTCTTAATCAGTATTTCTTGTTTTTAAAATAAAATTGCTAAAAATAACAGGAACCATTACATTTAAAAAAAAAAAGGTACATTTGATTGGATGAATGAGTCAGCCATCACTCAGCATTAAAGCATAATAAACTTTTAAGGGATTAGGCTTATTAAATCATCCCTTATATAGCTCTAACTTCCAAAACTAACAATAATGAATGCTGAACAATGGCTAACTTCCACCCACAGAGGAAAACATTACACCAGGCAAATAACCTTATATCCACTAGGAAAAGCTTTGAAGGCATTTATATTTCTACTTTGATTCTGATTCCATGGAGATACTGGCGCAATCTTCTGCAGAAATTTGTGATAGGTTTTAAACTTTAAGTAGCAAAAACGTTTAGGATAAAATTTAGCTAGTTTGTAATTTAGAACATAACTATTCATAAACTAAATATTCGTAAAATCAAATGTATAGGTTTTAAACTTTAAGTTGCATTTAAGACAGAACAAAAAATGTTTAGGATAAAATTAAGCTAGTTTGTAATTTAGAACATAACTATTCGTAAACTAAATATTCGTAAAATTAAATGTATAGGTTTTAAACTTTTAGTTGCATTTAAGACAGAACAAAAAATGTTTAGGATAAAATTTAGCTAGTTTGTAATTTAGAACATAACTATTCGTAAACTAAATATTCGTAAAATTAAATGTATAGGTTTTAAACTTTTAGTTGCATTTAAGACAGAACAAAAAACGTTTAGGACAAAGGACAAATTTGAGCTAGTTTGTAATTTAAAACATAATAATTAAACATTTACTAAATGTTTACAAAATTAAATGTTTAAACACTTAATTAAATATAAATATAAAATACAACGGACATCGACTAAAAATACTAAGCAGGAAAAGATAATATAGCCATAAGGTTAATACTTTTCTACTACACTGCCATATTTTTTATTTTTAAAATTTATATTAATATGAATGGTTGTGCAGAGGGGTAGCGACCCTTCCCGGCGCCTGGGGACATACTTTCAATTTGGCGCTCCCCTCGGGAGCAAATTTTCGATTTGCACCCCCCCCTCAAACTTTTCATTTGCACCCCCCCCCTCAAACTTTCGATTTGCACCCCCCATCGAACTTTTCATTTGCACCCCCCCCCTCAAACTTTCAATTTGGCGCCCCCCCTAAGGTCGGCGCCCGGGGACATATGTCCCCCCCCCCCGCCCCCCCCTCGCTACGCCTCTGTGGTTGTGTGTCTAGAATCTATTTCTGGTGTTATTTTGATTGTGGATACATTCAAATTCATATCAACCAAACAATGTTTAATGCCAAACATGTATGCAATTAGCTTATACAGTTACATTTAAAAAATTAAATAACTCCTTCAACTAGGTTTTTTAATATTAATATTACAGTAGTAGTGCTCTTCTGAACCTCAAGGTCCATGGCTCAGGTGAAATAGTGTTCACATGTTTCAGTGACCTTGGCATTTGAAGGGATTGTGTGGTTAGCACTATGCTCAGATGCCTTTACTTTCTCTAGCATGAGACAGGTACCCATCAGAGCTGGGTGAACTCAGGGACGTCGAAATTAATAAAATAGATATGTACTAAATTTGCTTAATTTGCTTTTTGTACATTAAGTTGATTACACAAAAATCATTTAACTTTAATTTTAAAACATGTTGTTAAAATAACAAAATGATGTTGGATGGCAAAGTAAAACACATGCCAGCAGAAATATTTGTAAACAAAAGCAATGACAACAAGAGTCAACAGTGGAACAGGTTACCATGTTCGTTTCCAAGTCTTTAAGCATCGTAGTATAGTTAGAGTCAACGGAAAAAGACTCAAATGATTCTTTATCCTCATTTTCTCCAAAACTGTCCGTACAACTACTATATTTTTCATCATATACCTAATCCGAAGTAACAAAACATTTTATAATAACTTCTCATGTTCTGATGAGCTAAGCTAATCAAATTATTACCAGCTTTAAAAATAACATTTACAAATCAATTTCACTAAGCGTTGGGCTCGTTTCATGAAAACCAAATGAAAAACTAGTAACTCTTTCAGGTGATGCATCAGCAAATCAAATTGTTATTAAAACATACATTCTAAGAGATGACTAGAATAAAAAGAGATTAATTAGGTAATCCCCCTTCCAATAAATTTGGTCTTCACCATTCACGAACACGTACATTACTTCCTGTCTGGTTTTTCAAAAGCCACTAAAGCCAAATCAATGGTTTAATATCAAACAGTTTACCACAAGCAAATAACAAAGACAATGGGTTTTAGTGTAGCAAATACGAATGCTAGTGTTAAAAAATATTTCTTACCAAACACTAGCACTGATATTTAAATATAACTAAAATTATTTTTCAACAACCAAAATAAAGCATTTACCAAGGAAATTTTGTATTTTAAGATAAACATTGTTCTTTTAGTACATTTTTAACACTGATTATTTTTATATGAATTCAAAATAGACCCAGTTTTACAATACACAAAAAGCATATATTTTAAAAAGTTCAAATATGTTAACTACTGTTTTAAAAATGAAAATTGTTTAGGTAACCACAAACACCGAAAATGGCTGAATTGGACAAATAAAGAAATGGTTAATTATATAAGTCTTTAATACATACTAATTACCCAAATTAATACAGATATATATTGGCTACATTTCAGTTACATTAAATCCAACACCTTAGGAAAACAGAAGAAAAACAAAAAAAAACACTTAAAGTGACATTTTACATTGAATAAGTTTATTATATTACGTTGTTGAAACATAATTCCTTTTTCAATGAAGTAAATTACTTATGAGTAATTTCCGATGACTGGAAGTAGTAATTTACACTATTTCCGATTTCTCAAAAAACACATATGAATTTATAAAGTACTAATATTCTGCACTATTCTATTCTTTTTTTAATAAGTTTAAGTATGTAACAACTGATTAAAAATCATGTCTATATCCTGAGAAAGTTTTGGGGAGATCACTCCCGCTTTATTATTATTTATGCTCGTATTTGAAAGAAGGCAGAGAATTATTAGATCTTTGACTGACATGTGAAATTTTATTTATCTATCTGAATCAGTACTCAAGTTATAGGCTTTTGAAAAATTGAAAGTAGAATAAGTTCCACTTCTGGTTAAAGGAAATAGCTGAAAAGTTGATACAGAACTACAAATTTGATAAAATACTTGTATATGAAATTTTATCAACCTAGCTATAACGGTACTCAAGTTATTGTGTTCACAGACATACACACACACCCACACATACACACACATGGACAAAATTGCAAAACTATGCTTTTCAGACTCAGGGAAAATCTCGATTTAGATTTTTTGCATGATTATCGCACTTCCTCTATACTTCATATACGAGAAAGTAAAACAAGTTAATAAAAAGTCTAGTGACAATTTAAGCGCAATTTCCTTAATTAATTTTTTGTGACCGAATGAAAGGATATTTTTGAAAACTTTCTTTGGCAATATTGTTCTAAATTATGGCAGGAATCGATTGGTAAATGTTTCAAGTCGCTATGTGGTCTGGTTGCCGAGATATGGGCCAAAAACTGCATTTTTTCGAGGTTTTTTGGCTTTTCCGGGAAATTCTGGAAGGAATTCCGGGAATTTTTTTGGCCCACAATCATCCTCGGAACTTGCTTAACATATTTGCTTTTGGAACTAGTCCTCGATATTGCTTCCTTTAGGAGGAGATACGACTTAAAGCTGCGGACACACATCGGACACACATCCATCCAGAACGAGTTAATAATCGCAATTGTCCGTATGGAAATTGCGCTAAAAAGATAAAGGGGTTACATAAAATTGATCAAACTTACACTTTTTTCATGCTTCTTGTTATCATCTTCCTTCTTATCATCCACAGGGAGTTCAGCAGTAGTTTCAGCAATATAGGTCTCAAGAAACTTCACAGGTTTCTTTTTGATAGGTGCAACTCTCTAAAATCAGAAAATGCTTTTATTGAAAGGTTTTACATGTCAAATTTGGAATACTAAAATTATAGGCCAATGTTAGTTAATCAAAAATGATTGTATTTAGTAATTTATGAAATAATTATTATCAGCCAATTTTAAAATGTTACTGCTATAAACTGGCATTTTTGCAGTATCCTACCAAATGCATTATTTAACTTTAACAAAATATCTAACATGCTTTTTCAATCTCCTTGACAGTCTATTCAATAAATTGTCTCCAAACCCAACAGTCTTAACACATTTGTTTGTTTTCACAGTTTTACGGCGTTAAATGTGTACTACCTTTTCCTTTTCACGCTGTGGCCACTCCCACAAATATGGCTGCTGCTTCTTTTTCTTTTTTAAATTTTCTTCTTCCCTCACAATCTTTTTCACTATTTCAACTTTTTTAACTTTTTGTTCAGCTTCAAACTGTCTATAGATGAAATGGAAAGTTTTTAAATTGAACTCCCCTCTAAGGGTTTTTAAAATGTACAAAATAACTACACTTCATCTATATACAATTTTAATAATTTGTAAAGTTATAGAAAATTCATGTTAAAATGACTTTTAAAACAGAATTTAACCTTAAGGGGGGGACCAGTACTTAAAAATCGCATTTTTGTTATCTTTTTGCCTATGTATATTTATTAGTCTAATGCAACTCTAACATCCTATGAATGACTTGAACTAATCTATTGTACTAAAAAAATGTGTTGAAATACTTATTTTAGTGTTTATAGATGCCTAGTTTTGATAACATTTTATTTTTTACAAAAATAGCCATTGACACTTTTCGGCCTACTCCAAATTTTCTAAAGAAGAAATCTCAAAAACTGTCTTACAGAATACATTGAAACTTGCACAGTCTTTACAATATAGGTTGTTCTGCAAACTGATAGAAGCTTTTAATGATACCTTTCTTTGTTTAATTTTTATGGTTGTTTAAAGTTCATGTCTCTCCACAAGGGCTCTTTTTTTCTAAGTGACGTCTAAAAAAATTCATATTTTAAAAAGTTTGTGTTTAATCTAAATATCCTTCTATCAGTTTGTTCTGTAACCATTGCTAAATGTGGGTTTTAATTTATGTATTATTATGTCTTATACGTACTGAGATTTTTAGCATACAAAATTGCATATAAAAATACATATAAACTCAACTTTTTGGGGTTCAACATTTGTTCTCAACATGTTTGAGATATGTTATCTTTAAAACATATTAATATCTTTGTTTTAGCTATGTAGACAATGTTCAATTGCTGATCTTTAATAAAATAAAAATTAAGTACCGGTCCCTCCTTAATAAAATGTATATTATTGGGAACCTAACTTGAGTTAGGAAAGTAAAAGTGGCTGGGCAAAGTTCTGACCATACAACATGGTCAGTGAATCAGATAACTCTACTTCATCTGTCACATGGTAACCTAATCTAAATAGGTACTTTATATTTTTTTAAAAATACCATAAAAGAAGATAGAAACTTACTGTCTGATTTTCTCAGCTTCATTTCTTCTTTTCTTTGCCAGCAAAATTTCCTCAGCATTTCCTCCTTCAGCCTCAATTCTCATCCTCTCCTCATATTCAGACATTTTTTCCTCTTCATCTTTGGCATTTTCCCTTGCTTTTATTGCACGCAAATTATCCTAGTCAATGAAAGAAAAATCTAATTATTTTCATTAATAAAAAAGATTTTAAAATTGTGAAAATATATCATACAGATGATATCATTGGGCATGATGAGACTCGACAACTGGGGACAGCAACTCTTTAGGAAAGACAACTCCAAATTTAAAAAACTGCAGCCTCATAGTTTGTTCTTGGTTGGACAAAGGCTAAGGAAGCAAATCGAATAAGTGAAACAGGCTGAAATGGGAGTCAACAGCCTATATGGTGCATAACCAGTTGACACATATACTTAATTGTGTTGGAGGGAATCCACCACTAGAATTAAGAACGAAGAAGATCATACATACTTTAAGAGTGAAAGATCATAAAAAAGGATGAAATCTTTTGTTGACAATTTAACCTCTGTAGGTAATTTGGTATCCATGTTTATTTATAACATAGATTATTGTCACAATATAGATACAAAATATGTGACCTTGGTCTAATATAAATTATGGTAATTATGGAAATTACAGATAAGACATACAGGAAATTTATTAAACAAATTGAAATGAGTCAAACAAATACAAAGAAATACTTTTGGGTCACTCAGCTAGGAAAGAAATTTAAATATGGGTCACTTTTTGAAAAAGATGTTTCAACCTCTTAGTAAGTCACTAGTCTGAAACTAACTGATCAGCTAGGCAAACATGACTAAATGTCTTACCCTGTTGTGCGAAATATCTTTTTTAAGTTTTAAAAGCATTTCCATCCTTTTATTCATGTCAACTTTGTACCTTTCAGCTTCCTCATCTTGTCTTTTCTTGAGCCTGGAGAATGTAATTAGATACATTTAAATGGGTAACAAGCAAATTATTCTCTTCATCACGATGTATAGTTGAGCTAGAATAGCTTCATCATCATCATAATCTTAATTGTGGGTCACAGGCAAAGAATATGCCACAAACATAACTATCCTGTGTTGAACAATACATTTTTTTTAGCTTCATGCTTGTTTGACCAAACAACTTTTCTATTTAATTTGGAGTCCTGGGCCTATCAGTTCTACACTCATTCATAAACCAAAACAAACTTACAAAAAAAAAAGTATTCATAAGCAAAGTTAAGAGTATGTGGCATTAAGTAAATATGTATTTTAATAAAAAGAATAAACAATAAAGAATAAATAACAGAATAAAAGCTTACTTAGCCATTGTCTGGCTCAAAAACTTGTTCACTTTGTTATGGCACTTTTCTGCTTCTTCAACAGCTTTGTGGTGTCTTCTGTCTAATTCTTCTTTCATTTGAAGTTTTAGTCTACAAAATAAAATTTCTAAATATTTATCTTATCAAATCAACAATCAAGATTAAAAGCTAAGTTTTTAATAAAACTTTAAATTAGGAATTGTACTGATTTATAACAAGAAAATAAAGTAAAGAGATAGGGAGAGTTTAAAATCTTCCAAAGAGTTATGATTAAGCCAGATTCAAGATGGTGCATTTTTGAAACTGTTGACTGTAAACGTTATTAAAAGTAGGGCTAAAAAACTGTTTTAATGTTTCCTACAACTGAATAGTTAGCTTATTAATTGTGTTTTATATTCTATGGTATATATATCATTTTCCTATCCATACTTTTTTTTAACTTTTTAAGTTCGTGTCAGCTTAATTAGATTATATTAAGTAAATAACAATGTCTTTATCAGGATATAAAACAATCTAATAATTCTAGTTATGGTTAAATTATTAGTACCATATTCTTTGTCTTCATTCAATGTAAAAGTTAACGGAATAATAATCTTCAAAAGTAAAACAAGGAAAAACTCAAATTGCAATTACTTTTCATCCTTCCTTTTGTTGTACAAACTTTGTTTGACATACAGCTCTTCCTTCTGCAATCTCACCATAGCTTGCTCAGTTTTCTCTTGGTTTAATTTTTGCTCTTTTTGAAGGAGCTCATCTTCAGCAAGCAAAAATTTGCCTCTTTCAATTTCAGCCAATGCTAGCTCAATCCTGAAATACCAACACATTCTTTTTTACTTTCTCGTATATACGTAGTAAAGAGAAAGTATTGTAATCGTGCAAAAAAAAAAAAATCGAGATTTTTACAAATCTCGACGTTTTACACCTCACTGATACGGAAAAACATAATTTTGCAATCTTGTCCGTATGTCTGTGTGTGTGTGTGTCTGTGTGTGTGTCTGTCCGTGTGTAAACACGATAACTTGAGTACCGTTACAGCTAGGTTGATGAAATTTCATATATAAGTATTTTATCAAAATCGTAGATCCGTATCAACTTTTGAGCGATTTCCGATAACCGGAAGTGGTACTTTTCCTACTTTGAATTTTTTAAAAGCCTATAACTTGAGTACTATTTCAGATAGATAAATGAAATTTCACATGTAAGTAAAAGATCTAATTCTCTACCTTCTGTTAAATTTTGAGTAATTTCCGTTGACTGGAAGTAGTAATTTACGCTACTTCCGATTTCTCAAAAAACTAATGTAAATTTTAAAAGTACTAATAATATTGCGCACCATTATGAACATCTTTATTCGGCGTTCGGTTGGTGCGCAATACTTTTTTCTATGAGATTCTATTCTATTTTAAAAAGTTTAAGTATTTAAAATGGATTAAAAATCATAACTATATCCCCAGTTACCATCCCCTGTTGTTTTATATAAGAATATTCAAGAAAGTTTAGGGGAGATCACTACCGGTTTATTTATACAATGGTTTAAATAAAAGTGAATTTTCTGAAGTTTAATCTAGCTTTGATAGATAGCTGGAAAGACAAAGCTTGGTGTTAGTACTAAACTACCAGCCCATACTTAGACTATAGGGTATACCAGTGTTCATCCAGCTCTAATTGGTACTTGGCAGCAACAATAGATAACAATGGTACCAAATTAAACTCTTTCACATCTAAAAGACTTTTCTGATGCACCCAGTAAACCAGTAAGTAACTTGATGGTGTGGTTGATTGGTAGAGCATTTGGCTGCTAGCCTGAGTGTCTCAAGTATGGACCTTTGTCCCTGAGTCCTACCCAGCTCTGATGGGTACCTGGCTTACTTTGGGGAAAGTAAAGGTGGCTGAGGATAGTGTTGACCACACCACCCCTTCATATACTGAGGTAAAAAAACATATGAATTCTACCTCTTATGCCCAATGGATCACTAGGTCTTTAGAGGATTCTTTACTTTACAAGTTTTACATCAAAAAGTCACAAAACCTAGCTTCTGATTAAAAATCTAGAGTAAAATCTTGACATCAAATACAGGTTCAAGTCAGTAGAATGTCCCTGAGTCCACCCAGCTCTGATGGGTACTTAACTTACATTAAGGAAAGAAAAGGCAGCTGGGCATAGTGCTGACAATGACTATCTCTTCATTTGCCAAGGTCACAGAAACAGGTGAACTCTACTTCACTTGTCCCACAGACGGTCAGGTTTGAAAGGGAACTTTACTTAATTTACTTACTTTTGGTAAAATTAAAGAGATAAATAACAAGAAATATGTTGTTATCAATTTAGGGAGTAAAACTTAAAAAATAGATTAAATGTTACATAAAATAAACCCCTGTTCTTATAGACAACTTTCAACTTACTCAGCCTGATCTAGTCTCTCAATGATTATTGCTTCCAGCTTCTGCTCTGCCTCTAGTTCCTTGCATGTTTTTTCATGAGCAGCACAAATTCTGTCTGCTACTGGTCTAAAGTATAGAATAAAAAACTAAATACAAGGCAACATATGGAAAAAAACAACTTTGTAGTGAGTAAAGAACTTGACAAACAAAGCAGAATAGTAATAAAGAAAGAATTAGTTGTTTAGATCCAAACAAAAGAACCTGTTTTGTTCATTGCTGTCTTTGTTTATTTCTGTAAATAGTTTATCCCTCTCATCTTCCAGAAGTTGAATTTTACACCTGCATTTTTTCAATTCTTCCCTAGAATAGACAGGTTAGAAATTTTAACTTGAAAACTGATTTCACTTGATAATTTAAATGAAAATAGATCTAAAGTTTCTTTTAAAAAAAAAACAACTCATTAAAAAAAAATTAAACATGTTTATATTAAACTTTAAATTATAAAATGTCTTTCCTGGATTCATTGTAATAAATAACTAACTGTTTTTATTTATATATTTTATTTATAGACTACACTAATTAATAAAATATATACTATTAATAACATTAATATATACAAACTATCACATTAAAATATCACATTAATAAACTTTATCAATATCAAATAAGAATGTCATTATACTTTGTCTCTAAACAGCACAAATTTAAATGTCTTCTTTTAAGTGAAGAAGAGTAGCCGATTTGATAAATGAATTGTGATCAATCATTATGGTAATGTTTGCTAACTGTTGTAAACTGAGAAAAAATCTAAAAGTAATAACTAAAAAAAAGATTGGAGGACTTTTGGAAAAAATGTCCATTGTGATACCTTATCCTGTCTGCTGTATACTGAGCTAGTTTTACATTCTCTAACAGCTTATTCAAATGGCTACGTAGTTGTATCATACGAATTTGCTCATGCCACATTATCTTTTCTTCAGCATTTTCAGGAAAGGGGAGGCTAGGTCTGAAATTAAAGTAACTACATTTTAAAATAGATATTTATATTTATTTTATTACTAAGATAAAATAATTTTTTTTTTCAAAAAGGTAATATAGAGAAATAAAAATATAATGATTATAAATAAAGCTTTGTATTTATCAGACTGTTGATTAATAGGCATACCTTGAATCATTTATTTATCCAATCTAGGAACTATTTATGTCAATTTAATGCATTTTGGCATAATTTTTATCTATTAGGGGTCATCCATAAATGACGTCAAGCTTTCTTTGATGATTTTTACCTCCCTCCTTCCCTCCGTTACAAAAAGCCAGACCCCCCCCCTAAAATGATATCACACCTCAGCCTACAACCCCCCCTCAAAACTGCAGTTGAATTTTTTTTATAACATCAATATTTATCTAAAATCTTGTCTGCACTCTGTCAAAATAGAGTATATTAATCAATTCTTTTAGAATTTATTAAAACAGTTTTCTAAAACGCAAAATAACGTCTGAAATTTACTTTCAAACATTGCTTTTTTTATAATGCAAAAGTGTGATGTCACAGCATCTGAACCCCCCCCCCCCTCTCATCACACACCATCACAAAATTACGGCCCCCCCCTCCACCTATGAGTGTGATGTCATTTAGGGACGACCCCTTATATAGACTGATTCACTATATTTTAAGATAATAGTCATAAAAATATTACATCTGGAAATTTAGTATGCTACTTAATTATTTTAATAACAAGTAGGCTAGTTTGAAAAGTTAAAAAGTTGAATGTATACTATAAGTTCCAACAATATAAACCACTATAGTCATTATTTGGCTGGTGGTTTAAAATAGAAAGTAAAAAATAACAACAAACAAAAACTTACTCAATCACAGCTTCTGATTCATTTTCACTGTCACTCATGTTGTCATCATAGTTAATTATTTCCTCCTCCTCATCCAAGTACCCCATCATCATTTTAGCATTTTCTGTATATTCCATTTTTGTTTGAATTTTGAATAGGTTTAGTCTTTACTTTCGTCCACAGTAATACAGTTTAGTATTACTCTTAGAAAAAGAAAGGAATTAATGTAAAATAATCTGCATATATTATATAGTAAAATATATAGTAACTGAGTTTTAAATAGGCCTGTCTATTGAATAAATTTATTGTAGCCTAAGCCTTAAGATATAAAAATATAATTATTTATTAATTATTGCTAGTACTAGTAGTAGTGATTCAAATCACAATATTGTGACAATATGCTTGTATCAAAGCCATATTGAGTCACCTTTCTTTCAAATTACTAGCCTCTGCCAATTTTATGTAGCTAAAACGATAGATTACCAAAAATTAATAGGCCTATCCTATTCACTATTCTATTGAGTATTACTATTGAGTCTATTGTTTACCAGTTTAAAAGGCCTATAGTCCTATATAACTATAGTAGATCAAAAAGTAAGTACAGAAAGTAGTAAGTAGATCTGTAATTACTAATTACTTACTAATTTAGTAATTTAATTAAAAAAATTAGGCTACTAAACTTACTGTCACTGTCTTCTTACTAACTATTACTAAGTATTAGTAAGTAACTAACTAAACTAATTAACTAATTAATTTTACTGTAAAAAAAATAAAAGTATAAATTCAATTGTAAAGTAGGGCTTTTATTTAATTGCATTTGAAGATTGATTTTCATTTCATAAATACTGATTAAATACATACTAGTATTAAGTAGATCTATATACTATATAGATAATTAAGTGAAATGTTAATCTTCAAACAACTTTAAAAACAAACAGAAGGAAATTGTGGTGGGTTCCATTTTGTTGCCTCTTGACAACGGATAAATAAAAAAACTTGAGTGGTTTTTCTTTTCAAAACACTTTAGCGGAAGAAAAAATATTCCAATAAAAAAATAGCCTAATGAAAATATTATAATCATATTATTATTCATTGTTTTTTTTAAACTGTTTTTGCAGAATCAAAGAATTCAACAAGTCCAGCTAAAAATGGCAAACAATGCATTTTACAATCTTTTTCTTTTTGGAAAAAATAAAATCTAGCTAGATCCAGAATCTAGATTTAGCATTTTAGGATTTTCTTTATTTTTTGGCTTTTGTTTGGGCTATTGAATATTCGAGTAGATTCTACAATAAGTTGATAAAAATAAAATTATAATTCATTTGTTCACTTTATTTTAATAATTTTATTTTTATTAGACATATAGATCTAGATCTAGATTGAGTTTATATGCCCCGACCAATATAGATTTTAGATCTAGATCTAGAGACTACCATTTTTTGAAGTAACCATAAAATTTTATCATACCTAGACATTTCCGGTTCTTCTTTTTAAAGTTCAAGGTCTTCTCTAACAAAATGGCAGCCCCCAGTAAAAGTTCGGAACCACAACAAATGGGAAAGGGGATTAAATTCCTCTTTGGTGGCTCGGCAGGGCAAGTGATTGCTAATTTTATTGTAGAACGTAGTGAATTTATGCATATAAGTATTTTAAAATTGTTTTAAAACATTTAATTTGTTTAGAATTACATTTTTGCTTACTTTTTTAAAAAACTTTTTATGTCCTTGACTGCACAACTTATGATGTGAGATTGGAGAGTTGTGTAATGAGTAATGATGAGTAACAGTAATGTGTCAGTGTAGACGTAGAGTGTAGAGTCAGTAGAGTACTAGATCTAGTGAGCAAAGTCTGGCTAGATTTAAATTATAATTATCTACACTACTGATTTACTCAAATCTTCTGTAGTCTCTTAGACTAGACTCTTAGTCTGGTTGGTAAAAATTTAGAGAAAACCCATGATATTTCATTGTATCCACCGCCAACCAATCAAACGCGCGCTTTCAACGCGTTTTGGTTGGCGGATGACGTCACGCGACCCGTAAACACGGCGTTTTTGGAGCTAAAAAGGGCCGAAAAAGCCATTTTTTCTATGTGTAGTTCGGATTTTTTTACGTTTTCTAAAATTACTTTTGAATATTCACATCACACAAAGTAATCCCAAAGAAAGCACAAAATAAAATCCGTTAGAAAAGCATCACCATGAAATTTGAAAACCACAGTATGTCAACCAGCCATCTTTGGCTCGATCTAAAGGTCATTCTTTAGCCTACACATGTGCCTTGCCAATAAATTTAGTTTCTGATGGTACACAACATTTAGATCAATATATTAATTAACAAACTAACCAAATTCCAACATTCTGTCACTCTAATCCTAAAATGAAACAGAATTTGAAGCACAGTGATCTAACGAATAAATCCCACTCTAAGTAAGTGTCGCAGCTTTGATCCAAGATACAACCGTAGTGTGTAGTCGTGTTGTGAGTAAACTTGCACGAGATAAAACACCGACCTAGACCTTCCTGGTGTGTATGGCCCCAAAGTTAAATGCTGGGAGTAGGGGAGGGGAATTTAACACCAGAATAGATTTTTTTTTTTCAATAGTTAGGTCACCAGTAGTTCACGCATCTTAACGGGGGTTGAAAGTGTAACTTTAAATTGAACTATAAGGCAAAAGGTGGAGGGTGGTGTCATTTAAACGACGGAGCTATATTTCTAGTTGAAGAATACGGGGAAGCCGGCATTTCATTATTGTCATTGCTATCGAGTACAACCCTTTATTCTAGTTTAATGCACGACCAGGCTACTCAATACGAAATCTAAAAAAGGTCGTTGTGCTACCATGCAAAAATAGCCTAATATTTCTACTGAATGGGGTAGGTATTTGACTTTGTTTATTTAAATGCAGGTCCCATTAGCCTAAACATATTTGGATGCACATTTTTGTTATATCGTAAGGATTAATTTTATAATACATTGCATATATTCTGGCAGTCCTTCAAGTATTAGTAGTTATTGGACTATCCATAACTTGTATTTCAAAGATTTATAATGAGCGGGATGCACTCGATGTTTTAAGTGCTACATTCGGTAGCTGTTACTTTGTGCATGACAGCATCCCAATAGTTCACTGTTAATAATGTAAACTGAGCTTGACGAGACTCCCATCAGACTCCCATCGCCAAGCAATCGTATGATGATAGACCCAGCAAGCATCACTCGTTAAATTCGACAACATGGCTATACCAGTCCTTGATTATTTTCATTACTGCCTTCAAACGCCTAGTTCTTGGTTTTAAAAAAAAAGTCTCCCCCCCCCCCCCCCTCTCTTCACGCTTGCGCCGACGTCATCATAGACCAATACCACGGTGCATTTTTTTCAACGAGTATAACACACCCCCCTCTCCCCCTCACAGCAAGCGCCAACAACGGTCACCCAAGGCCAATAACACGAACCACGGAGGATTTTTTTTTCCAATGAGTATGTACCCTACCCACCCGCCGCCTTTCAGCATACCGCTAGTCTTTACAAACGGCAGGGTTCGTGCGGCCTCCTGAAATTCCAGGAGGTCCTGGAAAACTCCTGGAATCTTAAAAAACGTAAAAATCTCCTGGAATTCTCCTGGAATTTGAAAAAATATAAAAACCTCCTGGAATTCTCCTGAAATTTTAAAAATTCATGAAGTTTTATTAACCCGCGGCGCAAAACCCGACCGAAATTATTTTATTTTGTTCCGCCAATAATTGAATAGTAGTTTTTAAATGGGACGAAAATAAAAATAAACGCATCGGCCGTCGTCCGACTGAATCGCACTGCCGTGATCTACACATCGTGTGGCACAGCCGAGTGTGTGGTCACGTGACGCTAGGCGATTGACCCGATTGGATGATACTATAAACAATTTCTAAAGATAGATAGGCCTACATGTGTTACCGTGTTTGACTTGTCGGTTTTTGGATTTTTAAAGTTGACAGGCATGTTTCGTAACTTTGTCTTAAATTATTGAAACAGCAAAAACAAGTTGTAGTAGTATTTACGGCTCAGGACTAATCGTCAAAATTAATCTTCTTTAGAAAACCCGGATAGCTGCTACCCGATCAAACAATGCTGATTTGCGTAACGTTCATTATTTTATTTTATACATTAATTTTTCGTAAAAATGGCTATAGAAAATAAATTAAATTTTTCCAGTGGCTCTTTTTTTTCGGTTGACTAAAAATTGTTAATACGCTTAATACTAGCTTGCGAAATCGACTAAAATGGGCTGGGGTGGGTGGGGGAAGACACTGACCATCCTACACGGTATGTAACACCCAACGTAACATCCATAGCTCAACCCGCCCCCACTACTCCGTGCCGTGACGCGACAAGCCGACAATCGTCGCCTTTGATGTTGTGTAACACTCGTACGGTGGTTTCATACCCCACCTCCCTTCCCCTTCACTTTGTGGAGTTGATGTTACTAATCCTTGGGCATAGATCAAGACATCTTGCCAGACTTTTGTCTCTGAAATTACATAATATTCGTCTGACACGTTCATCAGGTTGGCCGACTAGCCTAGCATCATTGCTTTTGGCATCCAAAAATCAATAAAATATCACGAAATGATATTAATTGGTGAAGTCTGCTTGCATTTATACCTCTTTTATAGTGAAAAACTCTTTAAAATTTGGTCCATACCCTCCCAGTATTTTTCCTCTTTCAGGGTCTATCCCGGTTGTCTGAAAAATCTGCTATTTTTTTTAATGACAAAAATCATAAGTTTTTTGTTTATGGTCAGATTTTGAAAATTCAAACTGGTCTGTAGTCAGATTGATAGCCTCTATCCTAATATCATGTAATATGTAACTAATATATATATTGTTTTACTTTTACTGAAATTAAATTTTTGCATTGGCTTAGCTAATTAAATGTATTATTAAGTACACTTTTTTTAAAAATGTACAAATTGGGTTTCTTTTTTGTTTTTAAAATCTCCTTGAATTTTTTTTTAAACTCCTGGAAAAGTCCTGGAAAACTCCTGGAATTTTATTTGAACTTTTGAGCATGAACCCTGAAACGGGGTTAAAAGTTTAACTTTGAGCTCAAGAAGGGGAGAGGGTGGTATTGAAACAATGATGTTCTTTAATATGTTTAATAATACAAATACAAAGTAAAAAATTATACTTACCTACTTCTATAACATCATACATAATTTTATAATTAGCAAATTAATTAATTAATTAAGTCTAATGATAATGAAGGGATATTTATTTTGGTTAAGGCACGACACACAACACTATGCGTGCGTGGTATGTGGCCTGACCGACCGAAAGGAGATTGTTTATATTATTGTTTTGAGTTTATATTTAACTCAATGCAACGAGCCCGCCGGTTGGTTGAGGCCACGCCGGGGGGACGATCTGTCCGGGATTCAAAGGGTCGATTCTAAATATCATCCGTCTGGTTCTTATCTATGCCCAAGTCCTATTTATTTTGTAATTAATAGTTAATAATAATTCTCTTCTGGGAGACGCTAGAAAACAAGCTGTAAACGCGCTCCCTACCATCCCCACCCCTACATGGTCTTAGTGAGCTGTGGTTCACGCTATGTTTACCTTCGTGGAGTCGGGTTTAGTGACGGCTATTTATTAGATAATTTAGTTTGAAACGATTTTAAACGTGGGGGGGGGGGGGTTATGGTCCTTAACAAACTACTTATAGTGTTTTAAAGAAATATTTTCAGTGTCAGCGTTGGTACTGTCGAATTCACAAATTATGAATTACTGAAAAGTAGAAAAAACAACAACTAAATAGCGGCGTATGTTATGCCGCGGGCCGGCTCGTAGTTAATAATAGGCTATCTAATATCTACTTATCAATGCCTAGTTAAAGTTATTTAATATTTATTTAGATCTAGTATCTAGGAAGGCCTATTAATACTTTTTTTGTTATGTTAACTGTGCCATTTAAAAAAAAATTAGTCTGTACAATTGTTAAAACTTAAGCAAAAAAAAATAAAAAAATTAATTTATTTAGGCTAGGCCTACCTAATTAATTATATAATTAGTGAACTGAAAAATTCGACTAGAGTGACTAGAGGTCTATCTTAGTAATTTTTACTGCTCAATAAATTTTTTTTAGTTGTAGGGCCTATTTAAAGGCTGTTTGATTTGTCTCCTATAATTTTTTGTGTTGATGTTCACCATATTTTGGAAGTTTTGTTAAAATAAATTGCATTGATCTCTTCTATTGCTATATATCACTATATTCTAGTACTTACTAGAATCTATTAAGCTTAAAATAAGGATTTTATACTGGGATATCAGTAGGCCTATATGCCATGTGTGAATTTAAACATGACCCAAAAACTCCCATAAAATTGTAATAACTCTGACACAAAATTTTGTTTTTGGATATTTTTAACTTTTTAATTAGGCCGTAATAGTAAACTTTAGTTTACAAGGTCATTTCCACCTACTAATTAAAAAGTAGAATGGCTTTGCAATCTAATTAAGCAGTCTCTTTTATGGTCATCTAAGTTCATGCATACAAGTCTACTCGTTTCAAACATATTTCTTAACCAAATAGGTCTTGTGCATACTGAAATATTTTTCCTCGAACATTGACTATCCCCGTTTACAAGTAGTCACTACATGCAGGTCCCTTTTGCAGCCATTGTTATATTCTTTTCACCCTCCCCTCCCTACTACTGGATGTTGATGCATTTTAATTACAAATAATTAAAGGTAACAATCAATTTATACTGACTGATTAGTACTGCAGACATCATCAGTGTAAAGGTTAATTTGGGCTTGAAACAATAGTAATTTAATTTCATGACTATTTAACAACCACCTGATTTTAATGTTTTTTTATGTCAACTTATAATTATAGGATGGCAGCCACTGTATTTGTTCAACCTTTGGATTTAGTAAAGAATCGAATGCAGCTTAGTGGTAAATACAAGCAATCATCCATATTAGTATTAGATAATGATAAATATACAGTATATTTTTGTGTGTTCTCATTTGATGATAGAATAACCAACATTTCTAATGCAGTATCCACATGTGGATTATCACTTAGACATAGTACAGATTTAAACTGATATGTCTATTAATTATAGTTTATAATCTGTAATGACTTAATTTATGTATATATTATTTAATAATTGGTCAATATAGGAGTTGGTGGAGCAAAGAAACAATATAAAACTAGTTTTCATGCTCTGGCTTCCATCCTTAAGAATGAGGGAGTGTCAGGAATATACACAGGGTATGATATTGTTATCTGTACCTATTTATAGTGTCTCTATTTTATAGTTACCTTGTACATTTGTTAAGTCCATTTTTGAAACAAATTTTTTAGTTTTTAATGATGTAATTATACATTTTTTAAATAATAAAGAAGAAATAGTTAAAATTGATTTTTATATGCCTGAAGATAATTTATAGCTACAGTTCAATTGGTAATAATATCAATAGATGGTCATAGCTTCTAAAGTAATTTGTTGATGTACAATAAGTACATGAATTTTATGGCTCTGTTTTCTGTTGTTTTAAACATAGCTTGAGTGCTGGTCTGTTGCGTCAAGCCACATACACGACCACAAGACTGGGAATCTACACCTCACTCTTTGACATGTTTACAAAGTAAGTTTCCTAGAATAGATATACAAGTATCATCTCATAGAGTAGGTATACTAGTAACTCTTCAGTATGATCAGTTATTCTTCAAGAGAGTACATAAAGTATCATCTCGCAGATTAGGTATGCCTGTATCATCTCAAGTTTCTTCAGCAAGATTTTCCGCGAACTAAATTTTTTTGAGAATATACTTGAGTAGCATTGTATTATCTGTAGCTAAGTTTGCTAAAGAGTAGATATTTATACAAGTATCATCTCTGTGAACTGAATATTCTTATATCCTGCTAAATTATTTTTAAAATGTTTTTAACAACGTAGAATGCCTTTAAACATTGTGTTCTTAACTTTATGTATGTAACAATTTTAGTAATTGACGTCTGATTGGGTTTTTTCTTTTTAGAGATGGGAAACCGCCAAATTTCGTTTCCAAAGCTTTAATAGGTGTTACTGCTGGTGGTATTGGAGCCTTTGTTGGAACACCCGCTGAAGTCGCACTTATTAGAATGACTGCTGATGGAAGGTAAGATTTTAAATTTTGAAAATGTGTTTGTTTCAGTACAACTTGTATTTGCCCTTTTAGTAAGAAAAAATCTTTAATGATGCCAGATACATTTTTAAATTCTAAAATGCTGATAATTTCATTTCTCCAGGTTGCCACCAGAAGAGAGAAGAGGTTACAAAAACGTTTTTAATGCTTTAGCTAGAATTGTCAGAGAGGAAGGAGTTTTAACATTATGGAGGGTAACATTCAATATTACATCGGCATAATATTTACAAGCTCCTCCAATGAAAATTCAGACTAAACTATACCATTTTTAGCCATTGCTTCTTAGGTAGGATAATTTTTGATTCTATATTATCATACACAATTTTAAAAAATCAAACTGAATTTCTAGGGCTGCATACCTACAGTTGGCAGAGCTATGGTTGTCAATGCTGCACAGCTTGCATCTTATTCACAAGCCAAACAGATCTTAGTCTCAACTGGTGAAATCTTTTCTACATTTTAGAACATAAATTTATATTATTTTAAAAATTATTTTATACATAATTGTGTGTTACTGTTTGTGCATATTTTAGTTCCCATAGAATTTTAAAATGCACTGTGGAATGTTACAGGTTATTTCCATGATGGTTTGTTTCTACATTTCGTGGCCAGTATGATCAGTGGACTCATCACCACTGCTGCTTCAATGCCAGTTGACATTGCTAAGACTAGGTTAGTTTCACTTTGGTTCCTAAAGTTAGATTTTTATTAAAGCAAAACATGGCTATTACTTGTTATTTTTTCTTTAGTTCATATGACTATATTTCAGTGTTTACTTTAAATATTTTTAATTCGTTTTTCTGATGGATAAAATTTCTTTTTTAATATAGAATTCAAAGCATGAAAACAATTAATGGCAAGCCAGAATATTCAGGGGCATTGGTAAGTTTTTTTAATTCTTTGTTGTTTAAACTATTATTAATAATTATAGATAATTAGAGTAGATTATTTTTAATAAGATTTTTTTTTCTTTGTGTACATAATAATAAAGCTGTTTCGACAGTGTGTTTTTGATTGATGGATATCATCTTGTATTATAATCCTATATTAGGCACCATTTGCCTCAATCGTTAATTATTTTAACCCCTGCTTATTAAAAGCAAATTTAGTGATCGGGTTAGGGTTTTAGTAATCAATATTGTTTAAAATCACATTTCTAATTGCTTAACAGTTGCACTGAAACATTCAAAAACTCATACTTTTGCTTTAAAATCTCAGGATGTGTTATCTAAAACCATACGTCAAGAGGGTTTCTTCAGCTTATGGAAAGGATTCACTCCATATTATGCACGTCTGGGTCCCCACACAGTTCTGACTTTTATTTTCTTGGAGCAGATGAATAAGATGTACAGACACTATGTGTTGCACGATGACTCAGCCAGCGGTGGATTGTAGTGCTCAGCAGTATTAAATTATTATTGTACAAGTGTACATCTGTAGTATGATAAAACACTTAGTCTTTGGCAGTTTTAGACATTATATTTGTCTCCTGATAAAATCTAAAGATATTATTCATGTTATTGGTTTATAATTTTCCGTGAAGTAAAATGCCAGTCTAATTCATTAAGTCTAGTATTAGTATTAAAAATTGTGTTCTTTTATTGAAATTGAGGCACAAAAATTTGCAAGAATTGTTTTCTTGATTAGATTATACCTTTTTGATAATTTTCATTTGTAATGGCTAATGGAGATTGGAAACATGCTTTTTCAAAGATAAATTGCTTCATAGACAGTCAGTTGGCCTTTAAATAAATTATTCATTAACAGCATCAACAAGACTGATCTCACGGCTGTAAAAAGCTTAATGCTGCTTATGTGGGCTACTGTAATGCTTCTATTTGTAGTCAGAGCTTGTCAGTACTTATTATTAAATCCTTTTTACTGTAGTTTTTTTTTTTTTTTTGGTGGAATTCTATTTGGTCGATATTTTTACACTAAAAGTATTTAATGTTGGTGTAGGATGTTCCCATGTTTATTCAGCTTTCTTTCCATCTTTATATCAATCAGTCAATCAATTCGGAATTAATTTAATCTATCAACCTTTTATTCAGTTTAAAAATATTTTGATTGCCTTCTGAAGATTTAAATTTTTTTTGGATACATTTATAGATTGTATAAATCTTTAAAATCTGATAACATTATGATAACATCCATATTTCAGCAAAATGTCTATGTTTCAATTAAGTTTACTTTTGCACCTTTTTGTTTAGATGTTTTATCTAGGAATTGGAATTAATCAATTTTAGTAAATATATTTCTTATTGAATATTTGGTAAGTGAGATGTTATGTGTGTTGTCTATGTAGCATAATCATTCACTGGCTGTAATTTAGACCAACATATTTTGTGTTTTTATAGAATAACATTTTAAAAATTAACTGCACATGCTGGACATAGAAGCCTTTTTCTCCCATTATGATTTGTCATGAATTTTTTCAAAAATGTGTTACTTTGATTTATGAATTCTTATAAATTTAGTTTTTGTGTTCTTTTTAAATCTGTGATAGTGTTATAAATCTGGCAACATGTTCATCAGGAAAATTATTTTATTTAAGTTTTTCTGTTCATCTGCATAATGTTATTTCTTAGTTTCAAATTTTAAAAAATCCCACCATAATGCTGGTCAGTTCTGATTTTCAATTATCAGGCTGTTCAAAAGTTATTTTTTAATAATATGCATAATACTCTTGTCAATCTTTTAAAAAAAATAAACTTTTGTGTTCTGATTGAAATACTTATTCATGGGAGGTAACCTGCATCATACAGTTGATTAAAAATTAGCTTTGATCTGATTGTTGAATTAATTACACTGGAATCTTATTTATACATAATTTACTTTACTTGTTCCATTTATATCTTTTATAAAAAAATATGTAGGGATAGTATATATATTTTGAAAAATTGTTCAAATAAACTGTTTGTAGCATATTTATCCTACGTGTGTAAATCATAATTTTTTTTTTCAAGTTGAATGAATTGATGTCCAAGTCACTGTATAAATGTTAAATGAGTGAATAAATCTGGGAAATTTTTGTGTTAAGTACAGTCGAATGTAACACATTTTATATAACACCTGAGACAAACTTGGATGAAAACATTTGTTGTGCTTGTATCAGAAAAGTGAGATTTGGAAATAAATTATCAACTAACAGGACATGGTGTTTTTTAAAATTTATTTGAACAAAACTTATTTTATTTTTTGTTTATGCGTGTAGCATGGAGTTATTTTTGTATCATGCTGTTTGCATTAGCCACTGATTTCTTTACAATAACATTCCCCCTCTTCTCCCCCCCCCCCCCCCCCAAAAAAAAACAAGCTAAAATCATCATGATGGGGTAAAACATGCTAGTCCATCAAATAATTAATTTTATTTACAGAAAGTTGAGTAAATGGGTGGTTAAAAATGTGAATAAAAAATTAAAAGTTAAATACATTATATTTAAGTCACTTTGATTTACAATGTACACTAGGAAATGATATGATAAAGATACAATATAATTTAAGAATTTAATAGCTTAAGTGTTATTTTACTGAGGTAAGGAAAACATGAACTCTACTTCATCTGCCCAATGAAACTCTAGGTCTTAAGAGGAACTTGTTATAATATTTGTTATAATTTGGATAATGTACCCTCCTAAAAGAGCAGTGGTAAAACTTATCTGATTCTCGGTATTGGAAGAGGTGGTGTGGTCAGCAGCTTTGACTTTCATTGTTTCAAGTCAGGAACTTGCCAGGGATGCATGAAACTCATAAGGTCCTAAGGGCCCAGAGAAATAAACTTGCTGGGGAGTGACCTTGTGCCAATTAACCCCCCCCCCCCCCCCCCCCCACTATCCAAATTGTTACATAATATTATATTGTAAGAAGAAAATCAAAATGCAGAAAAAAGTGAATGAAAAAATGGAATCAACAATTACATCACAATTTAGCCTACATATGGGGTATATCTATATATATATATCTATATCTATCAATATAATTATATATATACATATATATATATACATACATATATATATATATATATATATATATATATATATATATATATATATATGAATATATCCATATCATACTTCTGTAGATAACATGTGTCTGTTACATAATTAAACCAAGAGCAGCCTGGTCAAGCTTTTGATGCTGGCCACCACCAGACCAGCTGCCAACACTGTGAAGATCCCCCCAGCCACGTACAGGGCAAAAGAATAGTTGAGGTCGTACTTGTAGTAGCCATCAGAGGGCATCTTCTGCTTGCATTCCACCCCAAACAGTATGCTGGCTATCACTGTTATCACGACTGAAATAAAATTCAATCCAGTCCACGTTTACATTTTTATAACAGTTATTTTACCATAACTGACTTAGGTAACTAATATTTTGATTATCAAAAACAAAATTCGAATTAAATTAACCTCAGAAATTAAATTAATTTAAAAAAAAAGTTAATTCAAAAACTTGTGTAGCCAGTTTTTCGTAGTTATCTGTTGGGATCAGAGGCGTAGCGACCCTTCCCGGAACCCGGGGACAAACTTTCAATTTGGCGCCCCCCTCGGGAGCAACCTTTCAATTTTCAAATTGCACCCCCCCCCCCCTCAAACTTTCAATTTGCATCACCCCCACATATATTTTTTATATTATAATGCACAAATGCAGCTAAAATGAGATAATAATTTGTTTTTCCAACCCATTTTGGCGCCCCCTAAGGTCGGCGCCCGGGGACATATTTACCCCCCCCCCCCTTTCGCTAAGCCTCTGATTGGGATTATGGGCTTAGTCTGAGACGTTTTGTTTGTGCGAATGTGGGTGAGAAATTCCACCCCTATTTGGTAATCTGTGACATTGAGTTAAGTGGGGGGGGGGGGGGAAGAGAAATGACAACCAAATTAGGGATGTTAAAAATTACGAATTACTTATTTTTCCCTAGACATGTATACTAGGATACATGTCGCAAGTGTAAGCGCGATTCAGTCTGCTTAATACTGACCTGCGGTGAGAGCGAATCCGACGCAAACTACGACCAGTTTTTTGTTGATGTTTTCGTTTTTGATCACGTGACGAGTATGGAAACAGCAGGTGATGAAGGCGACCAAAAGCATCGCCGATGTGCTGACAGACAACACCCGGACTGCTTGAAGGGAATCTGGCAAGGGAAACAACAGATAATTTTCGTCTTTATATCTAGTCATGTTCAGAGTTGTCTGTCTTTAAGTTTAAGGGTTTATCACACGTGAAGGTTAAAAGGCAAGTTTCACCAAAACGATGGTACACTTTGGAGGGGGAAGGGGGGTAACTTTTAAGACAGTTTGCCAAAGGGTTGTGTGTTAAAGACTTTGGGGGGGGGGGGTGTTAAAAATGTTATTAGAGTAAGTACTGTAGATCTACAGTCCAGGGGCAGACACAGTCATTTTATCTTTCCAAATATATAGGGTATCCTTTATATAGTTACTATGGCAACGGACTTGGAACGAATTAATTTTATAAATAGAATACTGGTAGGTGTATATACGGGGGTGTATTATGTATTGGCCAAATAAAATGAGAAATCTCTACAAGGGGAACAAATTCCAGACATCCATTTTCGTGCTCTACAGAGTTGCCTGTCTTGAAAGATTTCACTTCACCTGTATTTAGGTTAAAAAGGGGACATTTTTGGGTCAATAGAATAGGGGGTTACCAAATATAACGTCACACTTTTTAACTGTCAACCTGCCCCTTTCCGTCGTTATAGAAAGCCAAATCCCCCACCCCAAAAATGACATCACACCTCAACCTACCCCCCCCCCCTACCAAGTTGCTGTTTTAGTTCTTTATAACATCGATTTCTCTCTTTGAGTAAATTAATATATTTACTTTAAAATTTAATGCGAAACGGCGACTAAAATAAATTTTCTCACACCACTTTTTGGAATACATAAAGGTGTTGTCAAACATTCTGAAACCCCCTCACTCACTAACAGTGGCGTAGCGAGGTCGGGTGTCACCCGGTGCGGCACTTAATGGTGTCACCCCCCCCCCCCCCCCAGAGGCGTAGCGACCCTTCCCGGGGACAAACTGTCAATTTTTTTTATTTGCACCCCCCTCCCTCAAACTTTCGATTTGCACCCCCCCCATCAAGTTTTTCTCTATATATTTTGCTATTTTTTGCCTTGGTGTCACCCCCCTAAATGGTGTCACCCAGTGCGGTCCGCACCCCCCGCCCCCCTCGCTACGCCTCTGCTCACTAATATCCGAACCCTCCCCACTCTTCTATAGGAGTGTGACGTATATGGACGACCCCAAAAAGACTTAGGATTAAATAATAAGTAACATAGTCGAAGCTCTGAATACTGGAAGAGGATGTAACAGTCTTAAGTAACAGTTCCAGCCTGCTGACAATAAAAATAAAATGGCTACAGTCTAGCAGACTCACCGGGTGTCTCCTTGGGGCTGATGCTGGTACAGTCTCGCACGGAGCTGGTGCTGGATTGGGTGGTGAAGGAGCCGCAGTAGATGAACAACCCCACGATGACTCCCGGGGTGGACAGCCATCCTGGTGTTGCTATAGCAACGATCTTCGCGGAAGTAAATAAAAAAAATAAGATTGCTTAAATTGGCGTACACTTCCATACTTAATAGTTATAGGGTATGAGGTAACACTTCTTGATGCTAAACCATGAGTTCTTAAAAGAAGGATCGACCACCCAAATATGTAGGCATTAAACTGCTTTGAAATTATAATTATTCGGGGGGGGGGGAGGAGGGCCGGCGGACATTGATAAATTAGGGCCTATATTTTTTTTCCAATTTAGTCTGGGTAGGTGGGGAGGGGAGGACTCTCTTAAATCTATATCTAAATAATAATATCGTTTTAATAAGTACTAAATATTCTCGAATTCTGCGCAAAGTAGAGAGTTTTTTTAAAGTTGATCCTTCACCAATTATGATAATAATAGACACACAAATCAAATAATACGCAAGATAAAAAAATATCAGCAAACTAGAAAAGTAAAAAAAATAAAAAATAAATCAGCAATACCTGACACACACAAGCGACGGCAAAGATAACGACAGAGACAGCGACGACTTTGGTACGCTGGGCTATGACGTAAGGAGTGAATGTTGCCATTTTCTTCTGAAGCCTCAGTAACACACGATTAAGCTATTCTGTTCATCCCCGGTTTCTATTATAAAACACACGCAACGATTTTGCACCTGCTATATGTCTATGTATGATGATTATGTTATGTACCCTTATCAATAGCTAACTTATAACGTACAATTATTATTATTACTATTATTTATGTTATGTAACATTAAACCATGTCCGTGATTTGTCAAACCTAAGGAGCAAACTTGTGAACAATTTTGATCAATTCACAAATCAATAAAACAAAACCACTGACTGTATAGTTTATCCAAACACGATAACTATTGTTTTAAAATCCAACTAAATATTTGAATGCGGTTTTAACGCCAAAACAATAAATACAAATCCAGCATGAAAAAAAAAAGAAATAACGCCCAAATCGTCAACAAAAATCTCGGTGTTCATACATCAGACTAAAGTAAAACAGGTGTGTACGTAATGATTGGTTCGTTAAAATAAGGTGTGGCGGTGGTAATTAACCTTTTGACATTGGACGCCACACACAGGTAAGCCTATACCAAACACCAGTGAGGGTCGTCCATAAAAGACCACACACACCTAGGATGGGAAAATGAATTTCAGACTTTGTGACGTAACGTCTCGTGGGTGGGGGGGGGGGGATGGGATGGTTGTAGAGTGTGTGTTTAACGGGTGTGGGTATAGGGGTGAGGATGTAGTAGTGTGTGTGTGTGTGTGTGTAGGGGTCATAATAAAGGTTCTTAAAGAATGTAAACATTACATGAAAACATCTTTTTTATCGATGAAATTATGGAACACTGTGACGTCATTTAAGATGAAGAACCTGGTATAAAGTGACGACAGAATGTCTACTAAAATCCTATTGTGTAATTTCATTTATGGGGAAATCGTTGGGCTGCCAATGTTGTAAAATTTAAAAACTTTCTATAATATAAAAAAAGACAAAGCACATTTTAAAAAGCACTTCCACGGCACCCCCCCCCCCCCCCCAGAACGAAATGGAAAAAGTATAATATTTAAACAGAAAATATATACCTTTGTTCTACCCACCTTCCCTCTCCCCCAGATTCAAAAGCAAAATATCTGAAAGAAATCCTGATGCTCACGTACTCATGTTCACGGGCTAACTATAACACGTTTTATAATACTCGTGTTGAATTATCAAGATTTACAAAAAAAAAAAAACAACCTTTCTCGCACAATTTTGTTTCCCAAATTTTTATGACATGACCGCCCGACCACAGAGAAAACGAAAAAAAAACAACAAAAAAAAAACAAAAAAAAAAACAAAAAAAAAAACAACCCACTACACCAACACCCTCATGTAAAGTTTATAAAGCTACAAGTATCCCATCCCTTCCCCAAACTAGACTGGCCAAAACGTGAACACACACGTGACCGTCATACATCCATCAATGACTGGGCGTGTTGACGAGAGCTCTCACATGATTGATTGGATTACGTGGGAAAATGTTACACACTCAACTCATTAAATGATTTTAAAAAATTCAATGGAATTCTTTTTTTTTTTAGATCAACATTTTTTTTTCTTATCATGGTCTTCAGACTCCTTTCTGTACACTGGTTTTAAGGCGTAATTGTCTGGTTCATTTTGTTCAGAATGTTGGGGGGAGGGAGGTGGGGTTGATACATATGATTATTAGGGTCAGGTATTGGAAGTAATAGTTGAATATATACAGGTAGTGAAAACACCAATCACATAAAACTTCAGGTATTTTTACGTACACTACACAATGCAGGGTATAAAGCAGAACCTATTATGTACTTGTATTTACACACCCAGTTAACAACAAGATTTCTTACATACATTTAGACACCCAGTAAACAACAGGACTTCTTACATACATTTACACACCCATTAAACAACAGGACTTCTGACAAACTTTTACACACCCATTAAACAACAGGACTTCTTACATTTACACAACCAGTAAACAACAGGACTTCTCACATGCATTTACATACCCAGTAAACAACAGGACTTCTTACATTTACAACTCAGTACACAACAGGACTTCAGACATACATTTAGACACCCAGTAAACAACAGGACTTCCTACATTTACACACCCAGTAAACAACAGGACTTCTTACATTTACAACACAGTAAACAACAGGACTTCTTACATACATTTACACACCCAGTAAACAACAGGACTTCTTACATTTACAACACAGTAAACAACAGGACTTCTGACATACACTTACACACCCAGTAAACAACAGGACTTCCTACATTTACACACCCAGTAAACAACAGGACTTCTTACATTTACAACACAGTAAACAACAGGACTTCCTACATTTACATACCCAGTAAACAACAGGACTTCCTACATACATTTACAACCCAGTAAACAACAGGACTTCTTACATACATTTACACACCCAGTAAACCACAGGACTTCTTACATACATTTACAACCCAGTAAACAACAGGACTTCTTACATACATTTACACACCCAGTAAACAACAGGACTTCTTACATACATTTACACACCCAGTAAACAACAGGACTTCTTACATACATTTACACACCCAGTAAACAACAGGACTTCTTACATACATTTACAACCCAGTAAACAACAGGACTTGATATATACATTTACACACCCAGTAAACAAAAGGACTTCCACATTCATCCACCCAAAAATGAAACAGAACTTCAGATTTACTTAACAAAACACCAAAGTTAAAAAAAAATAATTTTAAGACATCAATCTAGAAATAGACATGTCTTTTATTTTACAGATACAGTTCAAGTTATGCCAGGGGCTGACTGTCCCTACTGCATGTACCACAAGTATGAATTTCCCCTTAGTTCAGGTATTGCTGGTCACATAAACATATCAACATACAGAGGCAGTGGTAATTTCAAACATGGTTTATGATTATAATGATTACATTATTAGATGAATGAAAAAGGTGAGGGGTCTTAAAATAGAACTGGTGGTTGCTTTTATCTTTAAACAGACATGCACTGATTAACATGAATGAATGAAAACAGATGAGCTGACTGTAACAATTTGATGGTAGGAGTTGGTAACACTGACCTGTGGTCTACTATAGTTGAGGGGGTTAGTTACCAAAGGAAGTTATGTCCCTTTTCAATACAACAATAATAATGAAAACCCAAGTCTTTAATTACTTCCCTTGATTTATACTCTCTTGAGGTCTAGTATATTTATCTGAACTGCCAAAACATCCTGAGCAATAGTCTGACTAATAGAAGAACAATTCTTATATTGGCAAGAAGAAAGCATTGAATTATGTAAATGTAAGTCTTCTGACATCCATTCAATATGAAATAGAAATTGGATGATATAAGGAAAAAGGTAAAAATGTGCCAAAATAAAAAAAAAGTGAGACAATAAACAATTATGATTTAAAAAATAATGAATGATAATTTTTAGTTCATGAGCTGCATGCCAATGAACAAAGATTATGATACAGCTAAATGTTGGATTTAAAATAAGGACATGTGATTTTGTTGAAAGTGATCAAGTGACTGTGATTTATCAGTTAACATCTGTAAATAGCAACAATCATTTAAGTTTTTTATTTTAGTCAGAAGACACAATGTTTAGGCAATTTGTTTTAAACATAATATACCAAGCAAAAAGAAGTATGTGCTCTGCACATTTAGGCATCATTTATCAATAAAGCTTTAGTCAAGCTAAAGCAAATAATTCATAACTCACTACGTAAAACAACTCATAGTCTTAGTATAACAGGAATAATGTTGTTCAGGAAATAGCAAAAAAAAAAAAAAAACAATTTCAATTCCCATTTGTTCACTAGCAGAGAATATGAATATACTTTGTACTAGTGGTAACATATAGAACATTTAATTAAATTCCATTCCACATAACTTATGATTACATTCCTACATAACAACATCATTAACAGTTAACAAGTTGTTTAAGACACAGGTCGGGTGGCAACCATTCACTGCCGTTTGTGAATATCTACCACTATGACGGTGACATTGTCGCCACTGAGACGCAACACAGCTGCATTAGCCAGTTTGTTACACACTGCGTCAAACTTGATGTCTTTTTCTGATTTCTTACCACTGGATTGGAGATTCTTGTCCTGTTCAGGAGAATCCAATTGTAAGTTAGTAAAGCGACTAAACAAAAACATTTATAATACATGTAACACAAGATGAGGATAAACAAAGAGACATGGTCCACTATTAGGTGGTGCAGTTAGCCTGTTCAATCCCATTTTTCACTACAACAACAAGAAAAGCATTGTAGGAAATTAGAAGATCAGAAACACATCTAAAGGTGATACTACATTGTTTTACAATGGTATTTAAGCCACTTACATTTCCAGTTCACCATTTTAAAGGTGTGGGTCTATGACAAGGGGCAATTAGCGTGTTGCTTACATTTTAGAATTCTATTATATAGTGTAATTATGTTAAGTTTATAATTATTATTTATATAGTGTAATTATTTAAATTAAATTTTTTTACTATCATATTATTTTGTCTCATTACCAACTTATTTTAGATAAAGAGACCTAAGTATAATAAATAAATCAATACATTCTACTGTCATATTATTATTAATCTGACACTAAGATTGAGTTGCAGTAAAAAAAAAATTGGACCGCCAGTGATTGACGTGTTTGTAAAATATGATAAATTATTAAAAGTGAAAATACATAGTTTAGTCACACCCTCCAGGAAGTAAGTGGTGACTTGAAACAGGCACAAAGTTTGGAGTGTGAACTGAAATCTATGGTAAAGAACCAATTTAAACTAGCATAATGATGGAGAAAATTGATATCTTACCTCCAATATTTTGTTGACATACTGTATACTTTCATCCACACTATAACTCTTCCAGAGCCCATCACAGGCAATCATAAGATACCTGCAGCAATAAAAATATCAAACTTTGGGAAAAACCACACAACAGCTTTTCTGCAGTTTCAAACTAGCATTTGTATACTAATCAGTAGCGACGTGTATAAAATAAGGATATTAATTTTTTTAAATGTACAGAAACTCACCTGTCATTATCTGTCAACTGGCACCTCTTGATATCAGGTATACAGGTAACGCCATGATTTTTGTATGGGCCATCCCCAATAGATCGAGCCACCTCCAACACACCCATCACCCTACCTTCCCTATTGAAAATACAATAAAATTAGAGCCCACCTTAAATATAAACCACACAGTGTTGGTTATGAAATAGAATAGTTGTATTAACCAAGCCTACCTAACATTCCCTCCTGCTTTTTGTATTCTCATTCTTTCTTCATACAAAGATGGGCTGTGATCAGTTGTTAAAGGAATACCAACACACCTCTGTTCTCCATCTTTGAATCGACACAAAACTGCCTGCGAAACAAATTGTAACCAATTATTTCTTCTTCAATAGGAAATCACAAATATAAAAATACCATCACGGTAAATTAATGAAAAAACAACAGCAAATGTTTATAGAATTTTGTTAATCATACTTTGCTATCTCCAAGATTTGCAATGTACAAAGTATCATTAATTGCCAGCACAACTACAGCTGTTGTCCCATCTTTCCATGATGGTTTACTGCGGACATTAAAACAGTGAGATTAAAAAAATATAACATATGATTCTTTGTTCAAGCTATATGATAGTTCAACATACTGATCAATTATTTTTCTACCCAAATAAAACATATTGGATCTCTCCCTCAAGTAGTTGATTGATTGTGATGTGAATCATTACGAATGATTTTAATATACCAAATTCAATCATAATGCTTTTATAATAGTGCAAAATAACATAGGCAAAAATAACTTCAATGTAAATAGTTTAACAGTTACTTACTTTTTAGTAGCTTCTTTTAAGAAATCTTCATCCGTCTTTTTAAATGCATCAATGAAAATTCTTTTTATTTCCTTCTCTACCTGAGTAATATCACCTAAAGAAGAGGTAAAGAAATTATTTACAGTATAATTTCATAATTTCTAATCATGCTAAATTGGGTACTGGTATTAATATTTGCAATGAATAATTTAGTCTTTTGCAGGTTTAATACCAGTGAATAAATTTTCTGGTTGCTTAAAGGGTCTCTAAGAATTACCCTTAGGAAATTTATCACGTAGATTATTGTGCAAATGCTGGGATGCAAACCTTGAAGCACGTACTCCACCATGTCCATCAAATACTGCATACAGCGCTAGACGATGGCTGTGGAAGAATCAAGAAAAACAGTGCTAAAATAGAAGAATACAGAAATAATTCTCTTACTGTGTGGATACAGTAAAAGAAACTCATAAGGATAAATTTGGAGCAATTGAATAAACCAAACCAAAACCGATAATTATAATATGACTATGTGTAAATGGTAAAAAAAATAATAACAGATTACATTTTTGAGTTTTTGTTACTTACATTGAATTATGTAAGCCTGGTATGTGTTGAAGGAAGTCATCTATAAGAACATGGGCATCTTGCATATCTTCTCTTTCACCTTGACGGTCTGCTACATATCCTTTAAGTATGTAAGCTGATAAATAGATTTTTTTGTGAATATGTCACTTTGTCAGGAGCAAGGGGTTTATATATTAAACTAAAAATATAATACATACATTTAATAAAACAATAACAAATATAATAATAACATTCAACTAAAATTCTAATATGTAGATAAAAATAAATATAATAATGACTAAGAATATACCCAAAGAGGTATACAATTTGTGTGCATATGGGTCCTCTCACTTTGCAATGATACATTGGAGTTGGGGAGTAAAAATCAACAATAAAAGCATGAATTTTTTCTGGACATTTGTAACTTGTCCTAAATTAAGGTGGCCACATTATATGCTTGTCCTTAATTTGTTTTAAACAAAATAAAAAAACAAACATTTTCTTTACTAATACAGAACTACACAAAGTTAAGTTTACATTATAATCTGGTAATGATCTTTTTATAATCTGAACACCAATCCAACAAAGAACATATCTTTTCCAGATAAGCCCTGTGTGCATGCATTATATTTATCTTGGAACTGGCAAAAAGTGGTGGGGCTTAACTTTTGATTTGCACACCCCCCACCCCCACCCCCCCCCCCCCCCCCTCAAACTTTCAATTTGTTTTTCCAACCAATTTTGGCGCCCCTTAAGGTCGGCACCAGGGGACATATGTCCCGTTACCCCCCCCCCCCCCCCCCCCCTTGCTATGCCTCTGCCCTAAACTAGGCCTACTTTGTCTAATTTGTTTCTGAAAACAATAGCAGTTAAAACACTCGTAAGGGGAGAAGTATGAAATGCCAACCATAATTTTGTGATGCCTTCTCACTCTCTTCATTCTTCTTTCGTTTTTCTTCAAGATCTCTCTCCTCACATTCTTCTAGTAGTCTCCGCTTATTTCCTTGCTTGTCAATATCGGAAGATACCCCTGAGGCAGTATGATCATGGCAAATAACAGAATCTGGCATAAAAGAGAAAAATCATTGAAATTGTAGGTGTGAATCCACATGACATGTTTATAATATAAAACCATTGATGATAAGCCTATTACAATTAATTACAATAATAGAGAATGCACTACCCACTAAAGATCTAGATCTACTATTATTACTAACTACTAGATGTAGATATTGTAGTATTAAACTTAACTAAACTAAACCTATTCAGTAAATTACTACTATTCAGTCCTATTCTAATTCTACTCTACTTACTAGATCTAGTCCTGTTTAAGTACTAGATCTAGAAACAGAGGAAGTCTAGTCACTAGACTGACTGATTAGTGGTGTGTAGTCAGTGAATAGTAGTAGACAATTAGGCCTCTATGTAGTATGTGTAGATCTAGGCCTAATAAGATAGTAGCTGTGTAGTGTGTGTAACTACTAGATCTAGATCTAACTAGTGTGTTGAATGTACTGATTGTAGTCACTTGTCAACTCAAGTCAGTCAGTTGAAAAACAAGACAAATCTAATTAGTAATTACTAGATCTAGGCCTAACTAATCTTTAATCTAGAGATTATCATTCTAGATCTAGAGTCCACTAGACTGACTGGTGGTGTGTAGTCAGTGAATAGTAGTAGACAATTAGGCCTCTATGTAGGATGTGTAGATCTAGGCCTAATAACTAATACCTAAGTGTTAGGCCTATTAACTAATCTTTAATCTAGAGCAGGGGTCTCCAAACTACGGCCCGCGGGCCGGATGCGGCCCGCGAGGTCCTCTTATCCGGCCCGCGGAGATCTTTTTGTCCACGGAAAAATACGTTTGTTGGTGATGGCTGAGGAACTTTGCCCAGAAAAGTCAAAGACATGTCTGGAAGAAACTGGCCCCCGAACTGAAATTTGATAGTTAATGCGACCCTCGGACGGAAAAGTTTGGAGACCCCTGATCTAGAGTCTAGGACTCTAGAGATTATCGTTCTAGATCTAGACTAGAGTCTAGAAGTAGAGTAGATACTACTAAATCTAGCTAGAATCTAGATCACTAGATTCTAGATCTACTTGATCAAGTTACTACTTTAGTAACTTTACTAGATCTATACTACTAGAAGTAGAAGTACTAGATTCTAGATTTGTACTACAGACTACAGATCTAGATTTAGTTAGTAGATAAGATTCATAGATTGAGTCCAGTAGATAGATCAGAACAGACGCTGAGTGTAACCTTTAATATGATCTGGCTCTGGCAAGTCACCAAATAAATCCATTCGTTTTTATTTTCTTGATCTACATTTAATCATATAATCAAGAATTCAGTAGATCTACACTCCAAGATTAAGTTAGTAAAGTACGCGACACGAACAGTAGCGCTCTCTCAAAAGAGAAAGAACAAATGACATGGAAAGTCTAAATATAAGAAACCAACAAACATTTCTGTACAGCGTAGGCCAGACGAAAAAAATTGTAATACGCTTGGCACTCATTATCTCCTATTTCGAATTAAATACACACCCGAGATCAGAGGCGTAGCGACCCTTCCCGGCGCCCGGGAACAAACATTCGATTTGCACCCCCCCTCGAACTTTTGATTTGTACCCCCCCCCCCCCTCAAACTTTCAGTTTGTTTTTCCAACCCATTTTGGCGCCCCCCCCCCCAATGGGGACATACGTCCCCCCGCCCCCCTTCCCTCGCTACGCCTCTGAGTCCGTCCATTGACCAATGTATGGACTGTGTACAACAATGCAGGAGCTGTTTTGAATGTACCATCCATAAAGCTGTGCTGATGGTCTTAACCTCAAATAACCTAAGGTTGTCCTTACTTCCATACAAAAACATCCTACTTTTGACTCGGCACCAGAATCGTTAGTCGTTAAAAAAGGGGGTTATTATCCAGGGGGTTCATGTCGCAGGGGGTTTGTCCAGGAGGTTTATGTGCAGGGGGGGGGGGGGCTTGGACCGGGAGCCGGAAATGGTTGAGGCCCTATGTTCTACTAGGAGCAAAGAGAACTAAGTCAAAATCAAGTCAAGTACATAAAGATCGCCGTCTTTGAATTAAAATATTGATTCCTCATGTGTTGCATTTCCATGTTTTATTGCAAAAAAAAAAAACAAAAAAAACTCAATTATTTTTTCAAATTACTCGTTGAAGGGAAAATGGAGATCAGTCAATACTAATAATATATAATTTACTTCTTTATGTTGATATTAAAATTCTAAACACATTGGGAAACTGATGGAATTCATTATCTAAATTTTATTTAATTCCCAGTTTAGCACTAAGTACGAAATATAATATTTTTTGTTTTAATAGTTGTGTATTATTACAAGCTTTTATTTAACTTGCTTACCCTGTCTGTCTGTATGAGTAAAAACGGGCGAGCCACTAGGGGGTCTTCCAGAGGCTTATCCAGGTTTTCGTTATAGGGGGAGCGAAAAGAGCAAAAAAGGCGCCGAATTTTTAACACGTAATCGCAGGGCGCGATTTGTTTTTCTCAATATACGGTATATAAAATTAAAAGTCGATTTTTTATTTTGACACCATTCATCTGATCGCTATCAAACTTTGGTGAGTTCATTAGAACACTTTAAGGAAGGGTTCTGTAAAAAAAATCATTTTTAATTTCACAAGGGCGGCGCCACGGGAGGGTGCGATTTTTCTCTCTATACGGTATATAAAAATAATAAAAGTGAATTGCGGTGACACCGTTCACACGATCGCAATGAAACTTTGGGAAGATGTTGAAAATACTCCTGGGGAGGTTTCTGCGCTAAAAATATTTTCAAATTCGCAGGGGTGGCGCCCCGGCAGGGCGCGATTTGTTTTTTCTCTATATACGCTTTATAAAAATAAAAGTCTATTTCGGTTTCACACCGTTCATCCGTGTACCATGAAACTTTGGGGAGAAGATTAGATCACTCAATGGTAGGGTTCTGCAAAAAAAGAAAACTAAAGTTTCTTATGGGCGGCGCCATGTAGGGTACAATTTTCGTCAATACACGGTTTGGCGCCCAGAGTTTTAGAGCGACTATGTTGGCACTTGGCATCCGTTAATCAAGCGTCCTGCTTAGCGAGTAAGGGGTATTACTATATTCAGCGGTAAAACAACAACAGGCTTCTAAAAATAACTTTGTAACGCGAGGAAATCCTGTACAGTTTCGTCACCTTGCGAAAGATGAAAAAATAACTTTTTGAATATGAGGAGCCTACTGTAGAGTTTCGTCACCTTGTGAATGATGCAATAAGCATCTATTATTAGACGATCCAGTCAGAAATTGAGATCGAGCATCTAATAATAGACCATTAGTAACGCTAGCATATTGCATCAGTCACACTGATGTTTAAAACACGTCTAATAATTTTTTTACGTGTTAAAGAAAAAAATTCTGTTCATTTGTGTCACTTTAGCGAATGACGAAATCTGCATAATTATTAACAGGATGCTATTGGCACGCTGGGTTATCCTATGAGCACGATGGCGCCTGTTAGTTTTAAGGAGCCAGGAGCCGTACGCTGCGCCTATGCGGTAGTGTAATCGGGGGGCGGGGGGCTCCTGAGAGCGCCCCTCTACGTCCCTGACACATGGGTGGTCACCGAAGTGTGTTCTACCTC